GCAGTAGTATACACATACTGCCATATCTCGGTGGTAGTAAACTCATACTGTTGTATATTAATTATAAGAATGACAGAACCTTCGTACCATGGCAAGTCTAACAGCAAAAGCCTACTGTATATAATAGTTTGGCAAACCTTTGAAAATGATTTGACAAATTTTAATCAAACGAAAGCTTCCATCGTATTTTACCATAAAATTTTGGTCAAAAAAGCCAAATTTATGTTATCTAAAAATAATCCGTAGCGATCATTGTAAATCACAAATCACAAAACATAAAAAAGTTCAAGACAACGGTCTTTTCACATCATTAATATTTATAAACTTAAATATAGGCTTTCAAGCCTAATTAAAATAAATCAACAAGACAATAAGACGATTAAAATTATTTTAAAATTTTTATTAGACTTTAAAGAATGTTCTGACACCTAAAAAATTTTCGAATTTTAATTTTGTTTCAATAGTATTGAGAAGTTAGTAAACAAAATCAATTTTAGTCTTCAATATAATACTTGTTGATAATTGAATTGAAGGTATGTATTACTCCTTAGCTTGACGTTTGATACCAGTTTGATAAGATTTTAAATCCTTGCCTAGTCTTCTGAGCTTTTATCTATAGCCATAGCCATAGCCATCGTCATAGTCTCAACCTTCGTTTCAGTACTAGGTTTAACCCAGTACATATGTTCTAGAATTGCTTATCAAATTTCAATTTTACTCCAACATTTCAAAAGTTTAAAATTTGTTAAAAATTCGATTTTTTTAAATTTTTTATTGCCTTCAACTTTTCAAACCAATTTACAAACCTTTACTCTTTTATTTTTTCACTAAACTCAAAAAAGAAGAACTCCCAACCTTTTTGGATTTCAAAAGAATTGTTTGCCTAATCCAGCTGAACTCTCGCACTGCGCCCTGGCGTTCTCTCTGAACGTTTCGGAACGTTTTGAAACATTTTTTGTCGTTTTTCTTTCGAAAAGAGCACGAATTTATGGCTTTCACGTGCTCTAAACAGTTGTTCTTGGCTGTAGTCATGTTAAAAGTTTGTTTTAGGTAAAATATGTTACAGTATGGGTAGTGTTTTGGCTTATTTTTAAAAATTTGCATATTATTTTAAATTTTAAAATTTTGGGATTACTTTTTTTGAGCTTAAAACTAGGTTTTTTGATTTTAATAGGGTTTATATTGGCTAGAAGGCATTAAAAAAGAATTTTTTTATGTTTTTATAGGTTTATATGGTGAACCTATATTATATTTTGTCATTTTTTACACTTTTTTAAAATTTTAAAATTTTGGTTTTTGGTTGTTCAAAGCAACTTTTATCAATTTGCAAAAAGCGTACTCTTCCAAATACCCATTATCATTTAAACCCGCTATCACCAATTCAACAGCCCCTATATCAAGCTTTGACATTGAAAAAGCTGTAGGATTACGGTGTTATCTGCCTTCTTTTGTCATATGTTACACAGGGTCGCCTGATTTTTTTTCAAAGTTGATTGTTTGTGAAATTTGGAGAGAGTTTTTGGTCTTTTCCACTCTCGCCGTGCTCGAGAACAGCGGCCTCGGGTCCGAAAATTCGCTCTCAAAAAGTAGGGGTGAATTAGGGAGTGACACGCCCCACGGCCCTCACGTACGTTCGCTTTTGATACATTTTTCTTGTTTTTTGTTTAAATCATCGGCTAATTGCCTACAGTTTTTAGGGTCGTTTTTTGGAGGAGATACGGTGGTTGTGATAAGGTTTTTTGATTACTTTTTATTTATTTTATATAAAAAAATTTGCGACAAGGTGAAGGTTGAATAAAAAATGTGAAATTATTGATAAAAAATTATTAGGCTTACAAACAAAATGTACATTAAACTTTTTAAATTTAAAAAATTTTAATTTTTACAAGTTTGGCTTTAAGAACGTTCTGGTGAATTAGCAGGCGTAAGGAGAAAAGAGGGGAAGTACCTAAGTAATTTTTTTTTAAAAAGTTAGGCACGGCATATATCAATTAAAAAAGTTAGTTTGGGATTTAAAGGTGGCTTTTGTAATATTTGTGTCCTGACTTAAGCTCTAGCTCTAGCTTTAGTTCTAGCTCTAGCTCTAGCTCTAGCTCTAGCTCTAGCTCTAGCTCTAGCCCTAGCTCTAGCTCAGAACCCTAGCCCAAAACCCGGGGAACGGACACTTCGCGGGGCTTTAAATTGCTCAACTTTTACCAAAATTACTATTTTTCCAAGCCCAAATCACTTTCCTATAGAATTTTACTTCATTTTCTGAACCTAAAACTTGTAACTTTTAAACTACTTATCCAAATTATTTCAAACTTTGCAGTATTGTAAAACGTAACAACTAAACACTAACAAAAATTGTATTTCTGACTTTAACTTTTTTTATCGTGTGTATTTACTGGGTTACTGTGGTATCTTTCGACTTGACATGCAGTAACTTTGTTATCGGTTAGTAAAAGTTTACTAAAATTTGAAGTGAAAGTATTTATACAATACAAAAACCAACAACATTTAAACAAAATTTTGTCAAAAATTTAAATTTTCGCCAAATTGGCAAATCTGCATTGCGTTTTTCTACCATTTAAAGTGATGACAGAACAAAACGGTTTTCAGATTTGGAGTTTTCTAGTTGAAATGCATATAAAATCATTTTAAAATTTTATAATTAGTTAATTTTTGTCGAAATTATAATTTTTAAGTCCACGTCAGTTTCCTATAGTAGTTGACACGGTTTTCGAAAAATACACTCTTTTTTAACCATAAAAATGTAAAAATTTTAAAAAACCAAATTTAACAAAAAAAATTTTTTTCTATTACTTTGATGTTACTTTAGGCTTAAATAGACCCTAGTAATATTGACAGTTTACATAAATATTGCCAAATCCATAGTAGTTACCATATATCTCCACCCGCGAAGTGTCCATACTTTATGGAAACTTCGTTGGTTCCCGCGAAGTGGGACATCCCAACTCGCGGGTGCCCCCGCGAAGTGTCCACCCGCGAAGTGTACATCGCTCCCAAAACCCTAGTCATAGTCCTAATCCTAGCCGTTATTCGGGCTTTGGCTCTAGCCGTAGCTCTAAAACCCCTAGCCTCTGTAAAGCGAGAGTCTTTTTGAAGCTACCCCTTCGGTCCTTACAGTACGATTACTTACTTTTCTTGATATTTATAGTGCGCCAACTGCTTTTTTTATAATGTTTATGAAATGTATTTATCATTGAAACAAAAACTTGCACTTTTATATTTTAGAAATGCACTTAAACGTTCGTTTTGTCTGTTCAGTTTAACAATCTATAATTTTTTGGGCACACACATACTTTAGGATTGAATTTTGATATACGAGTCTGACGATCTTTGTAATCATGTTGTTCTTTATACGTTTGGAGCTTATGCGCTCATTATCTATACCTATATAAGTTTTTTTTTGTATATCTATTCCTATATCAGCTTTTTTAACATTTTTTAATTTTGTAGGTCTTTATAGTCTCTTAGGGCATTACTATATAGTAATTAGTATCAGTGAAGACAATTTTTGCCATTTAATTTTTTTTATATTGTTCATATCTTGAACGTTAAGCTTCTAGCCTTCATGCCACTTCAGCTGTTCCTTAATTTCTTAAAACCTACCTTACTTAACTAAAAACTTCTCCACAATCACGTACTATTTCACGGTTCCACCAACGTTCTTCACGAAATCACGTGTAAATCACTGATAATTGATAAGACCAAGCCCCGCCCTCTTTTGTAGACCTGACCTTTGCAAATGCTACAAGTTACAGAAGCTTAGCTGTTGCTATATAAAGAGTCCAGTTGGTTGCAAAAAGAAAACTAATCGAGTGAGTAGTTGTAACTGACAATTACAGTTTAACATACCCTGATTATTTACAAGTTTTTTTTGGTTTTTGTTTGATCTTATATTAATGTTCCGTAGTATAATATTGTTTTATTGTTACGGCTTTTTGATACTATGTTAATGTTGGCAAGACTTTCGTTTTTTATTTGATACTACAGTGGGACTCCTGTATAACAAATTGATGTATAATGATCTTTCTATTAGGTTGTTCAACTAATTCTGAGCCCCTATCTTCGAGCATTTGCTTTGAGATAGAGCACCGAACTAATTAAACAACCTAATATAATCGAATGCTGACTTATACTATAAGTATAGTTAAACCTTTGTAGTATGATCCTCGGTAGTATGACACCCTCTTTATAATGCCGCTTTCTTCCTGCCATTTGTAATATAACTTCTATCACAAAAGTATCTGGATAGTGTGACATCCTGGTTTTATTTGTAAAGACTGGTTCAGTCCAGTCTTTTGAGTGTCATTCTATAGTGGTTAGGCTGTAATCATAATAGTTTTTAAATTTACCATTTCAAACCTTTGCTTCGCTCCAATTTCAAGGTTCAGAGCTGCGCTGGCCCCTTTTAAAACAGTAATCTTAAATATATTTTGGGATCTGCTTTAGGTTCTAATAGGCTAAAGCAGCTTCAGACTCTTGAGTGCCGTACTAAAATATACTATAAGTAAATTTTATATTGCGTGCAAGTTATAACATTGTACTAAAAATCACATTTCATTCTCATTTTCATTCATTTTTGAGTATTTATTGTACCAAACCATACTGAAAACGGTTGATTTTGAGGAATAATCAAATTTGAATCTTACGGTAATTTTTTATTTTTTTTTCTATTCATATAATGCATTGAGGTCCCCCTTAAACGTATTTTACATTTATTTTTAATTTTCTATTAAAAACTAGGCTTTTTTGAGCAATATGACCACTTTTTACGTCATTTTTATTAGGTTGTTCAAATAATTCAGTGCCCCAACCCTCAAATTTGCTTTAAAAGAGAGCACAAAATTATTTAAACAGCTTAATATATTGTTTTTACTATGTTTTTTCTGTTATTACCATTTTACCCGATACTTTTCCAAAACCTTTGCGATTACCTTATACATATCTTACCAAAATCACCCCCTAACCCTTAATATTATATTTTTAGCGAAATGAGCAAACTTGTTGTTTTGTCTGGCAGTCTCTCCCGCTCCCTCCATCTCCGCCCCTCCACCAGCACCTTCGTATGTTCAGTACGATGCGAAACTACTACATCGACACGTCACCAATCTACTGCCGCAGTAATTCCACCATTAACCGCACAGTTTCCGGTAGCCGAAAAAGTTGAATCCAAGAGTCAAAAAGTGATTGGACACTTTGCTATGATCGACGACTCGGCCCATCTACAGGAGAAGAAGCCGTTGGTGGTGATGTTGGGATGGGGAGGGTGCAATGACAAACAACTGGCCAAGGCTGGTCAAGTTTGGCTGGATCAGGGGTGAGTTTGTTGACCTAAGCTGAATATTATTACAAATTATTAGGTTGTTCAAATAATTATGTGCCCTCTAATCCTGAAGATTCTCTGTTTTAACTTTCCCATTTCCAGCTACGGCCTAGTCCGCTACTCAGCTCCAATGGGCGAAGTAACATCTCTACGTGACTATCCAAAGTACGCCAAGTCTTTGTACTCGGCCATCTCACAGAACCTACAAGGTCGTCAAATCCTTCTGCACATCTTCTCCATGAATGGCATCAATGTCTTCCTCAAGATGTTCAATCTCCTCGACAAGACCTCCGAAGGCAAGAAGGTGATGTCATCGATCAAAGGAGTCATTTTCGACTCCGCCCCCGCCGATGTACCACCAGTACCAACCGCGATGGCTTTTGCCATGACCATCTACCCACCATACCCCAACGAGGATCTTGTGAACAAGTATTCTCGAAACTTGTTGTACACTTACTATCTGGCCAAGTACTACGGTCAACGATTGAATGTGTACTTGAGGTCACTGATGGGTCAGGATGCGTATGCTGAATGGTTCGGCTTCTATGGCATCTCCAAGGTTAAACACATTCTTCCGGCCAAGCAAATGTACTTTTACTCAACGAAAGACTATGTCTGTAATGCCAAAGTGATCGAGAAGTTCATTGACATGCAACCAGAAGAGGCGGAGGTGAAGAAGTTCAAGTTCACGGATTCACATCACGTTATGCACTTCCGAAAGCACGCTGAATTGTATCAAAATGAGTGCAAAAAGTTTGCGGAAGAAGCCTTCAAACAGTAAATACGATGTAGTTATAGGGAGAGCTGTAATGTATTGGGTTATCGAATAAACATATATATTGTTTTGTGCCTGGAGGTTTTAAAAACTTTTTATTTTTTATTACCTGAGATTCAGTGACAATATACCATGAGACGAAATAAAATGTAAAGCTTGAACCATAATATGCAAAAGGTTTTCTTATTAGTTGGTTGAGAGGTATGACTACATACGATAAGACAGTTTGAGACCTTAAGGCAAACGCATTTTTACCACATACTTAAAATAAGACTAACTAAACTATTACAATCGCTATCATTTACATACATAAAAATAAATAATTACGTTTAGACTTGTACTAATTACAACTTTAGTTAAAATCATTTACAATAGCTACAATCAGAAATAACACTGACTCTAGTTGCAATCAGATATGACTCTACCCATCAGTAAAGTAAAAGATTACAATTCGTACGAAGTAGTAGTGAAGGCTACAATTCAGGACTGTACGAGTTAGAAGACAGACTTCTATAAGATCGTGAGGTAATTGGAGTTACATTCGCCGAATCTATCAGTACCGGTTCTGTAGCAAACTGTAGAGCATGATCGATGGATTTACAGCATTCTGAGTAGTCGGATTCTGGAAAAGCTGTTTGGGGGTGGGTTTCCTGAAAAATTTATTATCAGTATTAAAACATAATTATAATATTTTCTCTAGTAATTTATTGATCATGTCCTTTAATCAAGTAAGTTATCGAATCGATCTTATATTAGGTTTTTCAAAAGACCTGTGCCCCCTTCCAAAACAAACTTTCGGTCTTAGGATGCACAGAACTATTTGAACAACCTATTGTAATCAAAAAAGGAGAAAGAGGGTTCCCACCCAAAAAATTTACCTTGTACTCAACAAAGATGTCCATCAAGACCTGTGCATCCTTCAAAACATCCTTTCTATGCACAAAAGCCTTGGCAATCAACCCGATCGATCTACAGATGGCTCCACTGATCTCTGGCTTTTTCATTATCGCATTCGGACACATTTGAAAGTGGAACTTGTAGAGATCCACCTCCTTGATCAGTGGGTCAATCTTCTGTGTGCTTTCAAATGACATTTCATCGCTCAGTTTTCGTTTCCTGACTGATTTGGGAGTAGATTTCAGTGAACTTCTCCTTCTTGAGATTGGAGCTTTGTCCCTTTTAATCGAGCCATTCTTTTTTGGAGTCTGTTCTAGCTGTTGTTCTTCATTTCCGACGTATTTGAAGATCAAGAATACTGTGAGAAGATCGATGACTTTCACAATGTAATTGTACTGATTAAATTTGGTTCGTTTCGGCCTTAAGGCATACATGTAGTTTTCTCGGATTTCGTAGAGTAAGGCAGTGATTTGGCCGATTGAGACTTCGTACTCCTAAAAGAGGCTTATTAACCCAATATTAATATAAAAACGTCAATTTTTCAAAAAAAAATTATTTTTGAATTTCAACCCCTACCGTTAGCAAATAATCCTTGGTGATCGGTGTACTGATCAGACAATTCAACGCATCAATGATTGTATCCTCATTCATAAAAACTGACGAAAGGCGTGGTTTTTTAGTCGGTGCTGGAGACGAAGCCAAGAACTTTTGAGATGAAGTTTTACATTGATCTAGGCCTTCCAACAAGAAAGAAACCACTTTTTGCATGTCCGACATTGCAAATACCTAAAATTAAAATTTTTATTAAAAAACGTAATCAAAGCACAACGTATTTTACCAAAATTGCCCATAATTATGTTATTGTTCCTATTAAAAACTATTTTATCTAGTACAACATCAAAAAACCTTGTCATTATAAACTTATTTTAACGTTCAAAAGCAACAATACGCTTTAAAACCCTACTAACTCGCTCCAAAAACTACAGCATCCCTCAATAATCTTCCCAAAAGCTACAAAACCCTCTCCTAATACAATACCCAATAAAACCTCCCCCAAAAGTTACAGTAACCCCACCTGCAGCCGTTTCTCATCCAGCTTCCCACTTCGAATCTGTCTTTCCGTGTCTAGCTTAAACTTTGGCAGACAATTGACAGTTTTGGGTGACATTGTAGCCAATGTCATCGCTGTGTCCATTAGTCCATCATCATCACTCAACTTCTCCATGATGATTTGAATACATTCAGTAAATCTTCTTTGAATAACGATAACTTCGAGATCTGATTGTTGAGTCCCGCAAATCTGCTGAAGCTCGGGTTGTAGTAGAGTGTAGCCAACTATTAGGCAGTCCATGACGTCTTTTAAGACTGAGAGTCCTACAAATTAATAGTTTATTAAATTTTTCATTTTTTATACTTCATGAAAATTGAAATTTTCACAAAAAAATTCATTTTGTCAAAACTTTCCGTAAGTGTTAAAGTTCATATTACAAAAATCAATTTGAGTAATAAGAAGCTTAACATTTTGCATTGAATAAACTTACTCTTATCACTGCTTTGACTGCTAAACTCCCTGCCCAAATCGCTGTCAAGAGCCACGTTTTCGCCGCAGGCTTTGTTCAAAATTGGAGGTAAAAGTTCGGACAGACCACAGATGTAGGATACTGTAATTGAAAAACCTTGTTATTCACGTTTTACAACACCCTAACTCCCTTAACCCTACCCATCACAGCCTTACCCAACCCTACACTACCCCTGAAATCTCCCAATAACATAGCTTACATGACTAACCTACCCTTGCTCCAGCTTTGTCCTGTTATTGGTTTACTCTTGCCCTAACTTACCTAATGCAATTACGTTACCCAAACCCACCTCCCTTACCCCTTCTACCCTGCTCATCACAGCCGTACCCAGCCCTACACAACCCTTGAAATCTCCCAATCAACATAGCTTACATGACTTTTCATTGCTCATAATCTCCTCCCCAATGATAATTCGATGTAGATCCAAAGTGGCATTCCAATTGATTTTACACAACTGTGATATGTTCAGAAACTTTTGTACATACGAAACCGCGCCAAACCATTTTTCAAACAACAATTCAGCTATCTTGACTTCAATGTCTTCATTTTCCTCAAAGTCAAGGCGATTTAGAATCGCGGAGAGATCAATCAGGTAGTAAATGTCCTGAAATGTTATTTATGTCATGATTGATATAAAATATCAAAAAAAATAAAAACTTTATAAAAAAATACTGAAAAGTACATGATCAATACAAAATTCCGTATTTTACAAAAATATTCATTAAATGAAAAAATATAATAAAACCTTTAAAAATCTTTTAAAGAATAAATTTTTGAATAAAAAACTTACAAATTCAGAGTCATTTTTAAGAACATTAAGTAATTTAAAAACAGCCAGTCTCACGGAGTCATCAACATCATCTATACCATCCTTTACATACGCTTTTAGAAAGTCTTTGGCCCAATTTTTGGCAGAAATTGAAATTTGGGCCGAGAAAAATCGAAATGCCTAAAAAAATTCATTAAAATTTAACTTTAAATTAGAAAAACCCTTTAAAATTGCAAAAAAAACAAAATTCATACCTAAAACATTTGAGAAACTTTAAAAAAACAAAAACTTACCTTAAAAACAGAAGACCTTGTTTTAGCGTTGACATCAGTTACAAGAGTGACCAACACTCGTCGTAATTCCTTTCTAAACTCATTTGGAACCTCGTCAAACCAAAAACAAAACTTTTCCATGACATTTTCAATCGACATCAATCGAATAGGTAACGATAAGTCTTCTAGAGCATTTGCAAAAGCCCTCAAATGTCTTCCCATGTATTTATCTTGTTCCCCTTGATCTTCAGAAGTCGGTGGAAACAGTGATTGTTGCACAAAATATGCTCCTAATCGAATATTGTCGTTTGGAGACTAAATTTATGTTATTATTGGCGTAAAACATCTAAAAACTGATAGAAGTGTACAATTAAGACTTCAAACAACTTCTAAAACAAAAACCTACATCAATATGCTTCCAAACAATCCCTTTACTAATGTTGAACAACCTCACGTTCAAATCAGATCTTCTTTCTTTCAATAAAGCTCCAAATACCTAAAACAAGATAAATAATAGCATAATTCACTTACGAGACGAAAAACTTCGGCCACAGATCGTTTTTTAGATAAAATGCAAGATTCCATTAGTGGCTTGAACACTTCAGTCCCGATTCTCTCCTTCCACTCTGGTTTGTGGCCCTTCGACGTTCTTTCAGTCTCAAATTCAGGTGATTTAACATAATATACTAATAAAAGCTGTCCTAGAACCTCGGCGTACTTCCTAAAATATAAAATAGACGTTGAAAAGCTTGCTTAAAGACTTGCAAAGCTACTTATGATGTTTTGAGCCCCTTTTCATATTATATTGACTTACTTGTTCAACTTTCCTTTCAAAGCTAGATCACAGATTTTCGACCAAATCTCTTCCGCTGATATCCGATATAACACCAAGTAAACGCATAGTTTAAAGCCCTAAACGTTCAACTTTAACCAAAATCAATATAAACCCACGTTTTTGTTGTTCAACAATTCAAAATCGTAAAAGAGCCGTCGAGCTTCCTCAATATCCAGTTCCTCCTTCTTCTCCAACTTAGTAGCAATGTCTTTTGGTCTCCAACCCATTTATACATACGAAAATAAGTAAAATAAATAAATTAAAACTATTTGTTTGCTTTTACATTGCACACAATCAGATTTACGAAAAGAAAAAACGAAAAAATTAGAATAAAGAAAAATACGCGAGTCGCGCGCGAATAACAGCGAACTGCGCGCGACATTTTATACGGTAGAACATTTATTATATGAAAACGTTGTGAATTTTTGTTTCCAGCACAAAACATAAGAGAATTTATACATTTGTTCTCGATATATTTAACTCTACAGTAATTTATTTGTTTGCATTGAGAGAATGAACGTGAGAACTTTGTTTCCACATAGTAAAGCTTACTTGGCAATTAACCACGCTTCTACGACAAATCTAAACACGGTCAAGGTTCTTTCAAGTTTGGATGAGTTTTTTTTAATAACGTCAAAATAACAATGGAGTACATTGTTTGTCTGGCTTTTTTTGCGTTGGAGTTTGTATTGTGGGTAATATTACTTGGTATGTACATATATATTGTGTTAGGCTAATGAGTAGAGTCATTTTAATATGAATTGTTAAAAACTATGTTTGGACTAAGATTGTAAATACTATTTGTGTTTCAATCATCATAAGCTGGTCTGTGTTTATATAAAGGGATCTGTAAAACAATCATGGAAAGTACTACAATATATGTGCAAGGGTACTTTACAGTAAGTTTACTTTACAAGGGAATGTTACAAACTGCCCATTCGTTTTTTAAAAATGAATGGTACCATGTGACAGAGCGTAAAAAGTTGACTAGAAATCTGTTTTCAAAAAACTGCCAAATTTGTCTTACAAGCCCGCTAGCGAGCTTTAAAAATCATTATTAAAAGGGCCTTTATGTTCATATGCTTTATTTTCAATTTTTGTATGTTCAAAAAAATTTTTTTTATTGTTTTATTTTTCAATAGATATAAGAAACACTTATCAACAAAAAAATTTTACTTCTGTTAATGAAAATTAATTTGAATTTAAATTCAAAAAAAATAAATTTTACTACCCCAAAAGAGAATCGAACCGGACCCGCATGATTGCGCAATCACGGCGCTTTTGACCACTCGGCCAATCGAACACACTTCGTCCCTCTCTTCGAAAGAATTCAAAAGAAAGCGGACGTATAAAAACCATTTTAATAAGGAAAATTTTAAAAGCTCGCTAGCGGGCTTGTAAGGCGAATTTGGCAGTTTTTGAAAATAGATTTCTAGTCAACTTTTTACGCTCTTTCACATGGTACCATTCATTTTTAAAAAGCGAATGGGCAGTTTGTAACATTCCCTTGTTAGATAAGAGCTTTAATCTGTTTTTCCAAAAACGCTATGTTTAGAGCGAAAGCTATAGCTAAAGGTAGGGCTAATATTAGTCTATATACAGTTTATATAGTAATGAAAGGTAGATACTACGTGACTTATAATTTTCTTTTAGTTTATGACGTAGTACCATATTGTAACTACAGCCTATTTTCATGTTATAAATGCAAAAAAAGTACGGAGAAAGCAAAAATTGTATATTATTTGTTTTATAGTTCCAGTAGGAATGAGGTATATAAGATTAGTTAATTAAAAATAAGGAAGTATTGTTCTTTGCGCTAATTGTAAATAACCTTATGTTACTGTACTCAAAATATAATTTACTGTTCAAGTTTTACAAAAAACTTACAGCAGGGTTGTGCTTACAATTAGGTTACATGATGACAGACAAGAGGAAGGGTGGTGCTCTCTATAGTGGCTAATTGTAAGAAGGACGGAGCAAAAAAAAGTTGACTTGTCTTACAAGGAAAGTACCCGATCGCCCTGCTCTGATTGACTTCGAACGTTTTGTATAGAAAGGCCATGTAAATATAAGACACTCAAAAAAGTACTAAATCGTACTTTCTAGAAAATTCCAAGAAAATCAAAATTAAAAAATTACGTTTTGAATTTCTCGTAAAATTGGCATAGTGTTTCAAGCAACCATCTTTAAGTGTAGCTTGTCTGGAACGTCTTATAACTTGTAACACAGAGTGTGAGTTAAAATTTTCATGGGTACTATTAGTGATACAAACAATTCATATAAAAATTTTAAGCTGATTTGAAGTGAAGCTGTGTACTTTCTTAACAATTTTTTTATCTTACACTATTTTTACTGTAACATAATAACAGTGTCTTCCACAACACACTATTAACTCAAGCATAAAGAGTAATTAAATGTTGTTATAGTCTGAAAAAGTATGTTTTCATAAAAAGGTCATGTCTGACCATACAAGAGTATCCCACATTATACAAAATATCATGTGTCATTTTGTTGTTCAACTCATTATAGTGGTTTGATTATAACAACAAAGGAAGTAGGTTTTGTATCATACTTTTAGTTATTTACATATAGTTACGTATGATACAGTTTTTACGTTGTAAGGTTAGTGGTAGACATAGGTTTGTTTTTAATTTTGGGGCCAATGAAGAATTGTTACCCAGTGCATTTGGGGTTGCCATAAGTTATATAGGTTAGGTTATACACGTATTAAATAACAAAGCTACTTGCCGACTTGTGTTTTACATTCTTAGTTTACATTTACTGCTTAAAGTATCACAATCTTGCTTAAAAGTTGCATTTCGCCATGCTTATTGAAGCTATTATGTTGTTCAAATAATTCTGTGCTCCTTCTTAAAACAAAATTTTTAGAATTGCAGAGCACAGAATTATTTGAACAACTTAATATTTACTAATTTAAACTAATATTGAAAGTTTTGACAATACTTACTATACTGTAGCAGTTTACTGTAGAAAAACCAAACATCAACAAGGACATGACGATGTTTTTCAAAACCAGTTTTTTATAATTTTGTATCACCTTAAATTTGTTGTATGCCATTCTTTGGATAATACAATTACGCAAATTTATTATTTTGCACATTGCCACTTTTTCTAGTATTTCAGTCACGATTGTCAATAATTGTAGTTTCACGTATGTTCTTGGCAGTTTTGTAGGCTTTTTGGCAACAAAAAGAGGATGCTGTAGCTTCTTGAAATTATTTTTAACTTTTTGTGTTATAAAATACGTTTATTCTGAAAATCAGCTAGAAATAAAGTTGTTGAGAGATAGGATTACCAGTTTTAAATAATAATTGACCAGAGAAAGATTATATGTTGAAAGCTTCAAATAGCTTACAGTGGAACTCCTGTATAACAGATCGTTTAGAAATTTTAAAGTTTTTCGTTATAGGAGTATCCAGTGTTTTGCCGGACCGGTCCGGACGGTTTTTTTTTCGGTCCGGTCCGGTCCGCCCCTAAATTTTTTCGCGATTGTCCGGTCCGGACCCGTCCGGTCCGTTTTATATATGTAATAATTATAGTTGCTGGTGTTCTAAATGGTATGGTATGGCAAAATAGGGTATGGTGTAGTATATTATGGTAAAGTAGGATAATGTAGGGTAGGGTTTATAATTTTTTGGTACTGTAGAGTACTAATGGTACTAATTTTTCAAAATTTTGTTCTTTTCGACATTGTATGGTACTAAATGGTACAGTCGGCAGAGGCTTTAAGAGGTTCGGCGTAGACTTTAGAGGATTTGGCGAAGACTTTAAAGGATTCGGCGGAAGGTCGGCGGAGACTTTTATGAACTTGGCGGAGACTTTAGGGTATCTACTCGACCCTACCCTTGACCTTTTTAGCCCTGTCCTACCTTATCCCTGACCTCTTTAGCCCTACCCGACCCTACGCTTGACCTTTTTAACTCTACCTTGCTACACCATAATCTACCATAACCTATCCTATCTATCATACCACATCCTAATATAACGTACCATATTATACCATACTATTCCATAATATACTTGACTATATTATACCATTTATGTTGTTTTACTTACCTATTCTACCATGCCCATGGATAGTACATGATAGCGTTGTATAAGATTCAATAAGGTAAGGCATGGTAAAGTTTGGTATGGTATGGTATTGTAAGGTATGGTATGATATGTTAGATAGTATAGAGTAGAGCACGGTATGTTATGGTATGATAGGATATGGTATTGTATGGTAGGGTATGGCATGTTATAATATGGTAGGGTATTGTAGGGTTTGGTATGGTAGAGGTCATGGTAGGGTATGGTATACTAGGTACAATATGGTAGAGTATGGTATAGTTTGGTATAGTATGTATACTAAAATGGGTATGGTATAGTAGGTAACACAACACATCGTATGGTATATTATAAAGGATGGGTATGGCATAGTTGGGTAGGGTAAAATAGGCAAAGGTAAGGTTGGGTAAGGCTAAAAGGTTAGGTAAGGGTAGGGTTGGGTTAAAAAAGTCAGGGATAAGGTGGAATAGTTCTAAAAAAGTCAAGGGTAGGGTCGAGTAGATACCCTAAAGCTCCGCCAAATCCCCTAAAGTCTCCGCCGACCGTACCATTTAGTACCATACAATGTCGAAAAGAACAAAATTTAGAAAAATTATTACTATTAGTACCATACAGTACCAAAACATTAAACGTACAGTAGCGCCATTTTATCGAATTTACCTACAAAAAAGCACAAAAAAATATTTTTTCTCGAAAAAAACCAACTTATACGATCAAAAATTAAATTTTTTTTTCCCGGACCGAACCGACTATTTTTTTCCGGACGGGTCCGGACCGGACCGAAAATTTTTTCACTCGGTCCGGTCCGTCTCAATTTTTTTTGGACCGGTCCGGTCCGGACCGGACCCGTCCGGACCGGACCTGGGTCCGGACCGCAAAACACTGGGAGTATCGTTATACAGTGTTTTAAATGCTATATTGTGTTATCTAGGAATTTAAAAGTTGTTTGTTGTACCGGAGTTTTACTGTACTGTTAAACTTCTTTAGTATGACACTCAAAACACTGATCCAAAGCTGTCTTTGTAATGAAAGGTTCACCCTCTACACAAGTACTCTTTGATAGGAGTTTGATTATAAAAGGCGGTCAAAAAGCTGTTATTATAAAGAGAGTGTCACACTATTGAGGATCATACTAAAGAGGTTTTTCTGTACATAGATATGAGGCAGTCTAAGGTTTATTGGGGGTGCTTGCGGTACTGTATTAGTAAAATGAAGCGGTAAAAACCTAAAACATGTTGTAGTAAGAAGATTCTACTATAAGGTAAACCAAACAAAATTGTATGTTGAAGGTTGCAATGCCTATTACAAGACATTTTGGTTTGTGTTTGAAAGATGAAAGTACAATTAATTAGCAAAATAGATACAGTCTTATGATATTGGCGTTTAAATTTGGTAGATTTTTAGTTAGAGTACAATGGTTTAGAAAAAATTTTTTTTGTTAAAACTACATTTAAAACTTGTTTTCTATTAACTTTATTCTAACAAATGATAAGAGAAAAATTAATGTAAGAAGAAAGTGTAGTAATGACGTTACTAGAGCATTATAAGGAATATAAGCATGATACTGTAAGAGTTAAAGCTGTAAGTGTATTTCAAAGATCGAATTTTTTTGACACCGTGTTTTACATTTAATTTTTTTTAATTTGATTTTTTTAAATTTTGTGTGAAAAAGAGAAATAAGGCTAAGCCACGCTTCTTTCTATTAAATTGTTCAAATAATTTTGAGCTTCAATGCAATTTTTTTTTTGTTAGGAGGAACATAATTATTTGAACAATCTAATTAAAGTTTTTTGAAAAGATTTAAACTTTGTCCAGATCATTGCCTTTAAAACCACTGCATGTTGCACTTGATATAAACTTATTTATAAAGTTATGGCTAAAAAATAACTATAATATAGTTTACATTTCATTTCATTTCAGTTTATGGATTTTTACAACGACTACAAAGACAGAATAGTTTGGCCAGCAGCTCCAGGCGTTGTGTTTATTTTGTTTTCAGTAATTGTTGGCATCTTTGGGAATACAAATATTGTCTTGGCTACATTTCGGAATAGGTAATACTTCTTTTTACTTTTGTTTATTCATAATATAGCATTTTATCTACTTGAACATTTTTGGCAGTAGAAAAGATGACATTTATTTTTGTTTTTGGATTACAAAGGTTAGAAATCATAATATAATTTTATAAAAATACAATACTTTTTACCGAGAAGTTACAGTGTTTCAATGTATAATATAAGGTCACAAAGATCACATGCTCCTTTAGTATGTAATCTTTATTTAGGCTAAAGCCATATTTGAGAGCTAAGTCGCTGAAGAGGAGTGTGAGGAGAGCTTGGCTAAGAGAATTAGACCTAGAAATTTTAAATTTAGGGGCTTTAGCTAAAAAAACAATTTTTTTTTGTTAAAAACATAGAATATCGTTCATTACTTTACAACATATATATAATACACTATGGGAATTTCTTGTTAGGAAGATACGTCAATTTATAATATATACAAAAAAAACTAATTAGTTACATATAACATTGCTTATAACTCGGCATTTCCGGTCTCACGTTCACAAATTGCCAAATAGCTTAAGATAATAGAGTTTCAAAGCTGACTGTAATATATGACAAAAACGAGTTCGTATGTAGATTTATACATTACATTGCAATTCATTGTATATGTGAAATTATATATAATAGATGAATATGAGACATAAATGATGACATTAGAAAAAGTTAACAACGGTCAAAAATTAGCAAAAAAATGCAATACAATTTTAAAATGGAACCCTTATGTAAAAATTTTTTAACTTTTATTTTTCAGCAGAACCCGCCAATCAGTTCATATTTTAATCGCAGCTACAGCCTTCTCTGACATTGTACATCAGTTCTCTCATGTCATTTTTGCTTTTGAATTCTTCACTTTAAACACGTTTAACAGCCTCAACAACTGCTTTTACCTACAGGTTTTGTCATTCTGTGGAATGAACTTTGGATCCTTCTCTTACTTTACCATCGGGTTGGATCGGTTGATATGCGTGCTTTTTCCATTACGGTAGGTTTTGGAAAAGCAATCACAGCATGCTTCTGATAACAAACTTTCTAAACACTATCACTTTTTCAAATTTTACATTACGTTTTCAGATACAATGCAATGAATCACGTAGCTTATGTACTGTTAATACTATGCCTTCCTTTTATATATTCGATGACATTTCTATACTTATCAATAAATTCTATAAAAGGTGAGGAAGACAAGATTGTATTATGTTTTATCACTACACCTTTGAATGGTAATCTTGGATTCGTATGGAATTTGGCACAATGGACAACATTTTTTACTACGATCGTCTGTTATATATTAGTATGGGTTCTTATTCGGTCTAGAAAAGGTAAACAAATTTAGTACCCTATTCTATCCTATCCTATCCTACCGTACCCTTTAAAAAATTTCACGATGAATGACAAAATGCCATTTTAAACCTTATACAACCTCTCATTTCAGAACGCTACGCCCGCAAACTAACCCGCTCTCTCACCTTCATCGTATGTGGTATCATATTTGGCTGGGGAATAACCACTATAGTTAACATGACAGCCGAAAAGCTTGGTGCTTCTGAATTCACTATGTTTTTAGTCCACACTGACTTTGGCTGGCCTGCCAACGTTGCCATAGCCTCTAATTTCTTTATTTATTACTTTACATATCCAGCTTACACTAAGGCCTTTAACTATCAATTGTCTTTCATTGGTATCAACATTCCAGAGAAGACAAGAACGATTGTTCAGCCAACCATATTTATACATTCTAAAACTTACAAAGCTACCACGAGTTCTTGACGATGTATTTTCATTGGTTAAAGACAATATATGATTTTAGAGGCTTGTTGTTTCTTGATCTTTTTGAATAGTTTTTTTAATTAGTCTTGGCAATACGGCAGTCTTTTATACCTCATGATGAGTTTGAATACGTTGTACTACAGATATTGAATAACCATAAACATTATTCTTTTAAAGTTTATTAATAAAAATAATATAACCTGAAAATTAGTAATAATTTTAAAAATATATTTAAACTATTGTGCTGTTTTGTAAAAAAAATGTTGACTCTAGGTGTGAGAAACAAACCGTCTAGCCCCAAGCAAAACTTTCGTAATTGTTGGGCCCGGGCCTGAGCTTGACCTCAACAGTTAGTCCGTATAAGGAACCTCTATATAACGTAATCTCCGTATATCGAACAACTTTTGAATTCTCGGATATCATTACACAGTTTTAAACTCTCTGTAACGAATCCTCTACATAACGAACGATTTTTCATTCCCCTAGCGATTCGTTATACAGAGGTTCCACTGTTGTTATGTACTTTTCTCTCCCTCCCTCCCCCCCCCCCCCCTCTTTTCTCTTCTATTCAATCAAGTTTACCCGCTCAACATAGTACTTACAAAAATACTCTAAAATTTTAATTTATTCTGATTTGCGATAAAATGCCATTATTCCTGTCGGTGGATCAAGATGTACAAAGAAAGTTTAAAAACACATTTCAAAGCACAGTTGGAGACAAAGTCCGCAAACGATCATTTAATTTGCATTACCTAGTTGAAGACAACTTGAACGATGTCATACGATGACAATTTCTTGTAGTTTTTCGGTTTGTATGGTTGATTTTTGAAACAGTTTTAATTGGTTGACCGACATAAATTAGTCTTCCTTCTCTCTTACTCTTCTATTTGATTAGATACTATTTTTAACCAATAAGGCGTATATTTGTGTAAGTACTGTTATTTAAAAAATTGTACTATAGTTAGAAAAATTCCGTCCAAAAAGTCTAAATTTAGGTGAAAACAATAAATTACATTCTTTTTTTACTTTTCGGCCGTATGTAATATTGAAAAAAAACGTCTTTCTCTGATATATTCATCAAATTTAATCGAAACGCAAAAAAAGAAGATATGTTACGTTTTCATGTTTTTTACTCTGTAAAACTTTTTGAACTTTTGAAAATTTTGTGATTTATTCAATAAAGTACGGTTATTTGAAAAAATAGGCATTAAAAGATAAGAATTTAAATTTTTAATATTGCTACACTACAAACTCTAGTATGAAGAACACTTTTTTAAATTTTTTAAATCAAATCTTCTCTGTCTTTTTTTTTCATTCAAAATGCAATTCTTTATACAGGAGTTTTACAGAGAAATTGAAAAAATTTGGCACAGATATTTATCTCCTGTGCTAATTTTTTGGACCCTTGTCTTTAGATCATTGTTCCATGACGCGCCTTGTTGACATCTCTTCCCAGACCAAAGTGGTCCACTAAGTACTGTATTCGAGCAAAAAACTTATATTAAGTTCTTTTTCTTTTTTCATCTAAAATGATTTATTCATGAGTAATTTTTTATCAATACAGAGGAACTCCTGTATACCAGACTCCTCTATAACGAAAACCCCGTATTATAAACGATTTTTAAAGATCTATTCAGTTAACAATAAATAGTACATTCGGAGCTTTAGAATACCGAAACTCTTTTATAACGAGCTAATTTAAAATCTTCTCTGAATTTTTTACACAAGAATTTTACTGTATGTATTTCTACACTAAATCTTTCTCTTCTTTAAATCCCCAAATGTTACAGTAGTTTTGGACCCGAACATGTTAGAGATTCTCATGGGGCTGCAGGGATATGCGAAGAGATTCATCCATGTTTGACAATATGTTTTTTATTTTGGCGTCGGGTAAAGATTTTTAATCAAGTTGAGGTTCTCCCCCGAGGCCGGCCCGAAATCACAATTTTTGTGTTCGTTTTTATGGCACAACATGTTCTGACGGTTCATGTGAATATAGTATGGCTCAGACGTTTTTTACAGCTAAAAAATATTGTCAATAAATATTTTTTAATTTTAAAAAATTTTTTAAAAAAATATTGTATTTATCGTTTTCTAGATGTTAACGCTTTGATACTGTATTGTAAATACGGTACTGTAAGGTAAACATCATTCTCAATGTCTCAAAATGTCTACTTTGGTATATAGACGTGTAGGGAGGTAATTCAGACAAAATTTTTTTAAATTTTCGAAAAATATTTGGAATAAACCCCCCTACTTACCACCACCCCCTTTTTCTCTAGCATGCCCCGCCCCAAGCCAAAATCCCCCCACCCGGAACCCATACCATGTAAACCCGGAATAAGTCTTACCATGTAAACAGTATTCTTTCTGTACAACCGTCTGTTCTGTTGGCATGTCATGTAGCCTGTAAATGCCCAGAGGGAGTATTTTTGAGTAAACGCCGACTCCTTTGAATTGTCAATCAGAACATGATATTTGCTTTTGGCGTTGCGCAAAACTTGAAAAACAGACTCTATTAAACGGGATTTACTTTGCCACAAGCTTTTGCGAAAACGGGTTTTGGTTTGTGGCATAGTGAGGGGTAGGGTAACAAAAAAAATTTATGACATAGGGAGCATAAGGTAACCAAAAAATTGCATCAAATAGGGTTGTTTAAATAATTCTGTGCTCCTTTTCAATACAAATTTTTGAGGCTAGGGGGCACAGTATTATATGAACAACTTGATATTTGCTCGTACTGTGTTGGTTTCTAAAAAAACGTTTTCTTTCTGTTTCTCCTTCCTTCTTTATGTTGTAGTTAATTGTACAAGTTTTTATCATTACTATGGTATGTTTTTGGCTTTTTTTCGCTTCATTTTACTAATACAGTAACTTAAACTTCTCTTAAAAACGTTACAATACCCAGTTTACAAGGGAGGTACCCGACCTGCAACGCTCAGATTTCGTTCAAACTTTTTTTGTTGAAAAATCATGTAAATGTAATTTCTTATGCAAAATTCTAAGTTGCGGTTTGCGACCACTCTTGAGAAAATCGAGATCAAAAAGTCGCGTTTTGAATTTCCTGCCACGTAATGTTGCAAGCTTTTAACTTTGTCATTTTTTGATTTTTAACTATTTTTCTTTAATATAATGGTAGAAAAGCTCCAAATAAACCTGCAGTTTTAAATATGTAAGCCTATCTCATCTGGAACATTCAAAAAGGTGCTTGCCACACAATGCTAAATTTGCCAATTTGGCGGAAAATTTAAATATATTAATTTTTAAACTTAAAACCGCAACCTAAAATTTTTTATATAGGCTATTGGTACTACAAAGAATCTATAAAAAAATTTTGACGTAATTCTGAGAGTTGCAGGTTGGGTACTTTCCTTGTTAGTACAGTAAAATCTCTTTAATATGACTCTTAGTAATACAGCACTTTCTTTACAATGACAAATTTTGAACCGCCCTTTGTATTATTAGGTTGTTAATATAATTTTGTGCTCCTTAACTACAAGAATTTGCTGGGAGAAGATCAAAGTATTTTTGAACAACCTAATAGAACTCTAAGCAAAAATTACCTGGACAGCATCCTACCTACCCAAGTTATAATAGCACTTTAGTCCAGTCCCTTGTGTGTTATACTAAAGAAGTTTTGCTATTTATTTTACTAATACGGTACCTCAAACTTCTATTATCAATCTTACATTGTCCTTAGTAGACATGCGGAACGGCCGAGCCTGGGTTTTAGGCCCGACCTGATCTAAATTTTGCTTAAGACCGGCTTGGCCCGGCCCGAATTTTTTTAAGTGATACAGACCTGGCATTTTTCTTTTTCAGACACGGCCCAACCTAAATTTTACTCAGGTCCGGCCCGTTTCCCATGTCTAGCATCTAGCACCATACTTATAGTATCTTCCCATATCCCGACCGTTTACATTCCGGTAATTAATATTCATAAAAGCGTGGTCGTGTTACTTATGCTTACTGGGAGACGCCGCTCATTAGCATACTTTCCAATAGGATACGATCGGATTTGCATTTATCTGGGATATGTTAATCGCTGAAGGTGCCTAAAGGTGGTTATTTGGCTCGAAAAGTGCGAAACGCAGGAAAAGCTTGTTATTCCGGTTAGTGGTGAATACGACGAACTGGGACCGCTGTTGAAAGGTACGGTATTTTTTGGGTTTTTAGTTTGTTGTTGGTTTCCATAGATTAAAAATTTTAATTTTTTGTTGAGATAGCAAAGTCAGAACTATTAGGTTGTTCAACTAATTCTGCGCCCCTCTATTTGTTAAGAGAGAGCACAGCATTACTTGAACGATATTACAAATTTAACTCTAGTAAAACAACAAAAATAAAAATGCTTTTAAATTGAACGAACACAATACTTAAGGTCGTATTTACCTACTACATTACAATACACACACTTAAAAATGGCAGAAGAGCCTCAAGTCAAGAAGAGAAACCTTTGGAATCCAGCTTTGGATGATGATTGTAGTAAAAGTGATGACAAACCCAAAGTTGATAATGCTGCTTTAAATGTAAGTTGATATACTTTACAATTGACTTAACGTAGCTTTAGAAGTTTGGCAAGCTAATTGTTTTCGGCTTTAAGATTGGGTCGGGTCTGGTCGGCTTTGAACTAGAGTTGAAACAAGCCGGGCATAAAAAGTAGGCCCGGTCCGGCAGCTGTATAAATTTTTTAATAATTTTTGATCAAAACCTGAGTTTAGCTTATGCCATTCTAAGCCTTAATTTATCAACTTCTAAAAATTTTGATCTAAAATGTTAAATATTCCATTTTTTATAGACTTTTTTCAGTTCCAAAACTGTCTCCAGATGCTGGCTCTTCTCCAGAAGCAACAGAACTCTCCGCCTCCGATTCCTCCGTTCCTTCAACTTCTGACCCAGCCAAATGGTAATTAAATTACTTTAACTTGATTTTGATACTCACAAACTTGTCATCACATGTTTTGTGATTTTGACACATTAAGGAAGTTGAGCTACGTCAGAAAAACATATTAACAACGTAATGTGTGGTCAAAACTTTTTTAATTTAAAAATTTAAAATCATGAAAAGATGAAATAGCCAAATTAAAAGTTTAAATTCATTTTTTATATCAAGTTACAATTTAAAAACTATTATTTAGCTTCATTCTGTCTCTTCAACAACCTCCTTCAACCACCAAAACCTAAAAAGCCTGAAGAACCAGCCCCACAACCTTCAACATCAACAGTACCATCAGCACCAGTCCGCAACCCTATAGTTGAAACAGTCATGGGAGCGACTAAAGGCCCTGTTAATTACAATTGTTGTGCTATTTGTGGTCAAAGCTTTCGTTTGACTACTGATCTAGTACAACATGTCAGAACTAATCACAGAAACAATCGATTCAAGAGAAAATATCAGGCTGATTAAAATTATAGTACTTTAATATTGACCGGTCAGTTGAAAAAGATTGTGTGTAAAAATGGAAGAAAAGGAGGTAGGCTGATCATCCTTGTACAACCTCTTGATAATTTAAAAATAAAAAAAACTCTGGCTTTTGAAGTCTGTCTGACCTTCTTTTTATGCTCGCTGGTATGACTCTATCGATAAGTATTTCAATTTTATAAACAGTACAACTTCTACGATTAAATAAATTCTTATTACTTTAATATTTTACATGTTGTGTTAGCAATAAACAGTTTTAAAATATAATGAAGTGGATTGATAGTGGAAGGGGTAAACCGTAAATCCCTTGTGCAACGAATTGCTCGGAGCTTTCTAATTTGTGCGTTATGAAGGAGTTTCAATACAGAAGAGTTTTAAATTTATTGTGTAGTGTTAGCTAACAAGAAAAGTGCCCATAAAAACTTTTAGTTTGCGCTTATGAAACATAAATATTTGACTTTCCCGCCAAGTTGGAAAATTTGGCATTGTGTTTCTACTATTTTTTTAACTTTCCGGACAAAACACTTTTACAAATTTAAAAATGTAGGTCTATTTAAAGGTTTCTTACTAGTATAATAAAGTAAAATTATCAAAGTCAAAAACGGCGAAGTTATACACTTGAAGCACAATGCCAATTTGGCTAGATATTCAAAACGTTATTTTTTAATCTTGACTTTCTTGAACTTGACTGAAAAGCGTGACTTTTTACTTTTTAAATATTGTTTATACAGTACTCTCTATATATAAGCAACCCAAAGAGACCGACATTTTGTGTTTACTATAAGGGGTGTTGTCTTTACAGAGAGGCTTTTAAGTGAAAATTGACTTAGCGGAGCCAAATTTCTTGTTTACTATAAAGAGAGTTGCTTATACAGATGGTTCACTACATAGAGAGACCACTGTATAATCTTTCTGTATAAAAGAGTTCAAGTCAACCACAGTGGGGAAAGTTGGGCACTTCTCTTGTAAAAAACTTTGTATACGTTTGATGATCAAATTTTTTATAATTTTGAAATATTTTATAAAACAAAGCAAAAACAAAAAAAAACGTTGTTCAAAACATTTTGTCTATGTTCACCAAAACTGCACTTTAAAATTTCACGATGAACCTTGATCCTTCCTCCGCGCCTAACTGAAACATAGACTCTAATGAAATGCAACAACACCCTCTTATACACACAAATAGGACGGAAATCCTTGTCATCAGGAAATTACCCGGAAATTACATTCTGTTTTTTATTTTCAACGTCGCTTGTTTTCTCATAGTAAAAAGCGAACATACGAAAATATATTTTATGTAACACTTAATGCTATTTTGTTTGGTTTTACATATTCTGATAGCGCTTTTGTCATATTTTTATGTTTGTACAAAAGCTTTTTTAATTTTTAAAAAATTCTTGTTTTTAGTACATGTATAGAACGGTAGAATAGCGGTGTATACGGTAGAATAGAAGTATACGGCGAAAAAAATGATTATGCCATTTTAATGTAAAATACGTACATTTCTCGCTACGTGAGATAAAGGGGTATATAGTTTGCTATTTAACCCTGTTTACTGTAGTAAAAACCAAAAGTTACAGCATAAAACGCAGTAACACATGCTCAGTTACTTTTTCAATTTTGCCAGTGTTGATGTAGTTCTTTGAGTAAGACAAAGCATTTTTCGTCTTCATTCAGACGTTTCTAACTTCGTTTTCACCATTTTCCTATATCCGACTCTCTACTGCATTATGTTTATAGTTGAATTTAACACTTTTTATATGCCGTTCAGTTAGAAAGGGCTTTGAGTTTATTTTTTAAAGTATTAAGTGCCGACATAAAGAACCCGCCATTTTTACAGGTTATTACAAGCAAAGTATGGCGGGTTCTTTATGTCGGCACCTAATGGATATAGTACGGGTAAGATAGAAGCAGATAAGGCAGAACAATAGCAAGATAAAGTTAGAACGTAGTCCAAGTAAGGTATAGTTAAGCTAGGGTAGGGTATGATAAGAGTAGGGTACGGTGAACATTATTTTTCAAGATAAGCCTATTACAGATAAGGTAGAAGCAGATTAGGTATAACAATAGCAAGGTAGAGTAAGAATAAAGAATAGTAAGAATAAGGTAAAGTAAAGGTAGAGCAGAGTGTGGTAAGGGTGAGGAATAATAAGGGTAGGGTATCGTAAACTATAATATATTTTTTAGAATAGGCGATCAAGTAAAAGTCAATTAAGTATAGTAGTAGCTAGTTATTGTATTGTAAGAGCATAGTAAGCGTAAGGTATAGTAAGGTAAAAAAACAAGATACGGTAAAGCCATGGCAAGATAAAAGTAAAGTATAATAAGGGTAGCACAAGACGGAGTGACGTAAAATACGGCTAGCAATAATATTGGAAGGATAATGGTTTGGTGGGCTTTTGTAGTCAAAAATGTATAAAAACTATTATACTAGTATACTAAAAATACTTTTCTTATTTCTTGAGATTAGTCAAGTTATGCCTCCTGTCACCGGTAAACAACCTGAAAAACCAAAAACTTAAATTTGCTGTTTTTTTTGTATATTGAATCTTGAACCTTTATTTTTCCTTTATATTCTTGCATTTTTTGTTTATCTTCTACCACTTCCTCTCTGTTTTTTACTTTTTCTTCCCTTTTCTTGCAACACCACTTTTTTATCATTCACCTCATCATCGGTGCCACTTTGCGTGCAAATTGCATTTATTGTTTGTGGGCAATTAATTAAGACTTGTTAAACGAAGTAAAGTGGCCCATGTAAAGTGAAAATATGAAAGTTTTGCTTCGGCCCCAATTTGCTTTTTTGGCCGACGCCCGCCTCGCGAATCCACTTATAATTCGAGGCCATATTCGCGCATTCCAACAACATTTTTGCACTTGGATTCTGAACACATGCCTTTCCTCGAATCGAGGCCGACTGGTCGCTTTCGCTAAGAAACGTGGGAGATTTTTGTTTTTTTTCGAGAAAAACAACTTTTGGAGTGATTTGATGGTTTCGGGGTTTGATGACGGAATAAAAATATATTTTTAATTTTTAAATTGGTTTACTTTTCAATTTTTTTTCAAAATTAGTTTTTAGCATACCCTATCCTACCCTACCCTACCCTACCCTACCCTACCCTACCCTACCTTAACCTATTCTACTCAACTGTACTTCTCTATAATTTACTCTACTTTGCCTTTTTCTGAGTCATTTTATCACTTTCTATCTTACCCTACCGTACCCACTCTTTTAAGACTTGTGTTACCATGGCTTATCCTATTCTACCTTATCCGGTTTTTACTCTACTGTACTGAACATTCTTACCTTTTTATCTTTTTCTTCTTTTGTGTTTTAAGTGCTCAACTTGAAGTATTTATGTACTATAATTTAGAATACATCCAAAACTGTCTTCTCTTTTTATGACATTATATATGCCATTATATTGTCAAAATATGAAAATGACTGTCATGTCTAGTCTAACAAACTAGTGTAACAAAAATGTTAATTTTTCAACAATTTTTTACTTTGGCGTTTTACTTGACATTTTAAGAGTTGATAATTGAAATTCAAAAGAAGTCATTATTTGCGTGACATAGCCAAAAAATTAGTTTGAAGTGGACTCGAGTTGGATATTATTGTTTTATTGACAACTTTCTGTTTATCAAATATGTTTTCATATACTCTTATTGGTATGGCATAGTAATAGGTAGTAAAAGTTGGTTTTCCTTATATCAAAGTTTAAGAAAAAAACGACATTTATATGAAAAAAAAAGTATCTAAAATGGCAAGGCAAGGCAAGGCTATTTTTAAATATCTCTATCTTTATCAATACCGTGCCTTGTTTACTATTACAATACTTGACATTTTTTGCGCTACTAATACTAGCCAACATTGAAATCTACATTTTTCGCTGTTTTTCTGTTGTTTTTTGGCCGTTTTGTAACAATAACAAGCCACTTTTACAATAAGATTAACATAATCCCTGCAAGGCCTGTACATTTCGGAAACATTTCATTTTTTTCTCATACCAAAAATACAGTTTTGAAGAAAAAACTAAGTAAATGGAGAGTCGAGTATTGGTCGTCTTCTTAGAAACAAATTATTAAAGTTAATCAGGAAGTTTTTGCAAAAAAAGAAATGTACTTTTACATCGCGTTTACTATATGTTTACATGGTTCGTTACGTCGGTATTTTAAATTTTTATTGTGTGTAGGTAAGGGTTCTGAAAAAGTTTAAAGTAGTAAAGTTGAAGCTTTGTCTGGAGAAGATTTTTTGCATTTCAGTACTTGTCATACTTATCTTTCATTCATTATATCTTCATTAGTACTATTTTAAGCCTATGATAATTTTTTAAGTATAAGTGCACTTTCTGTACCAGACACATTGTTTCCTATAATTAACAATTTGGTTGAGGATTAGAGTTGTTATTGGAACATGACGTTCTCTACACTTGTAAGCTCTTAATTTGCTCAATCCTTTTGTTCTAACATTTTGGCCGTTTATTTTTCTTTTTTGAGGTTGCTTTTTCTGTTTTTCTTATTTCATTTTATGCTGATATTCGAACTTTGTTTAATTTATTCATTGGTAGACAAAGTTTTTTCTTCAAAAAATGTACTTGTGTTCTGTTGATTTTTGAAAAAAATTAAAATTCAAGTTATTACACAGATCGGTGCATATTGGTTTACTTCTGCCTCCAACGGTACCCCCCCCGTCCCCCCCCCAAAAAATTTTGAAAAAAGTTGAACGTGGTCCCCCTGTGAATTTTCGGAAAAAAAAGTTCGCAAAAAAATCGGCACAGGTAGCTAGCTACTTGTGCCGATTTTTTTGGACCCCCGCCCTCAGACCAAAAGTCCCCGCCCGGCCCTGTTTATTTTTACTCAAGACTAAAGTCAGCCTCTCGACTTTGCTTATTGATAAAACTCATTTAAGTTTTACAGTTTTAATTGCTGTTAATTTATCATAATAATCACGTAAAAGTGCAAAAACTCTATAAAAATGGCTTTAATAAGCTAAAGTCTAATCTGGTGCATCTAATTTTAATTAATTGAATTAATGTTCGAAACGTTCTGCAGTTGCTTTACTCTGTCAGATTAATAATAAGTATTTTATACTTATTTTTTATACTTTTTTGAAATTTTATACTTGTCTGAAGACATTAATTAAAACGCTTATTAAATGTTAATTGAAAATAATAATATATAAAGATTTGTGGTAATTTGGCAATATTTTAGTTAATGTACTTATAAAGAACTAATAATGCTTTCTGGTCATTTCAGACTGTTAGCTTTGGTGACTCTTATTGTAATTTTGAGGTCGAGAGTTATATAATAAGTCGCGTTTATTCTTTGGATAGGGAAGGGTTATGAGGTGAGGGAAAAGGAGGGGTGGGGTGGATTTTATTAGTCGTTTTTCTGAACTAGGGCCAGTTTGGAGTTGCCAGCTTTTTAGTGGAGGGAAAAGTAAAAATTTTCTTTTCACAAAGACATTTTTTTAATTTTTTTACATTTTTTAATTTAAAAGCGATATAATAAAGAAACCACCCTAACAAAAAAAATTTTTTTAGCTTTTTTTTCTGTTCTACTCCCCTCCCCTTCCTCTCCTATGATTAAAAAACTTTGATAGGTTTTTGTACGATGAAAACAAAAAAACAATTTTTATCCCCCTCCCCCTCTTCCACCCTGACTTATAATCAAAATGACCCGCCCGGCACTTCTTTTGCTAAATTTCTCGAAATTTCTCTTAATGTCATCACCGTATAACTAAAAATGTTTCCAAATTCCTCAAATTAAGCTTTTACTCCTCTGCCTCAACATTTTCTTTCTTTTTTGAGTATTTTACATTCTAAATTGGACTAGTTTTCCAATTCCGTCTTTCAACTAGACTTCTTTTCGAACGCAGTAAAATTTAATTGTTTTTGCTGTCATTAATTGTTAATGCGAACTTAATGTCGGAACGTTGTAGTGGCAGTCAATGTTATTGTTGTGGTGACATTGTAAGTGCACTTATGGCACGGTAATGTAGTCGTTTTTCGAAATTAACCACACTTTTTGCGGTTTTTGACTTGTTGTGAGAGTTGACAATTAAAGGGTCAATTTGAGGAAATTATGACAGTGTCATAAGGTACATCAAGTATAAAAAGGGTAGAATAGTAGTAAAAGAAAGTTAATTATGCACGGCGACGGCCAACTCAAAGTTGAGCGCTGTCTGGCTTTTTTACAGGTACTACCCTATCTTATCTTGTTCTAGGTTAGGTTGAGAGATCAAGCATGAGAAAAGAGCTAATGGTTGACTAGACGGGAAAATTAATTTTTTTTTAAATTTTGTAAGAGATGAGGCAATTGTTTTCAATTTTTTAGAAATTTTACAATAATTTAAACTGTAAATTTTGATATATGGATAACATATTCATAATTCTTATTACGTAGTAATGTAATACGAAGATCTTATGGCTCTAACTTATCAAAAAGCTAAACCGGATTTGATTTTATAATTTATTACATCGAAAATGCTGTAAAGGTAAATGGTTTATACTAGATTTGAGATTGTAACAAACGTAAGGGTCATACGGTAGGTACATTTTTCTAAATAGTAAGTATTGCATTGTAATACGTGCCATTTTCATTAACTTTAGTCTTGCTATGCAGTAGAACTTTTTTTGTTTTTCTGAATAATATGGTACTTTCTCTATAAGGACAGCTTATGATCATCTTTTGTAATAGAACCCCTATCAAAAGGTACCAGACCAACTCCTATCAAAAATTATTTGGATAATGTGACATCCTGGTTATAAAGATAGAATTTCCTTGAGTTTCATATTAAAGAGCGTTTGCTAGACATGGGGATAGTGCCAGGACTAAATTTTCGGCTCGGCACGTTTTTTATTTTGCTTAAGATCGGCCAGGCCCGTTCCGCATATCTACATTTGTCTGTGTTGTCTTTTAGCCCATTTTATAAAGTTACGCCGATTTACAGTTAATGAACTGTCTTCTGGTTGTTACTGATTAAAAACTTTTTTATAAAACGTATGATTCTGAACTTGTTTTTGTATGATTTTGCATGATTTTCTAAAACATCCATTGTTTATTGTTTTGAACAAATAACATTTGATTTTATGGTAATAATGTTTTCATGCAGTATATAAATCTTGTTTACGAAAGATAACTTTTATGTTGTAACTCTCAAATTTTCTCCGAAATTGTGTTTTTTACAACATTTCAAACTTTTTTTTTAAATGTTAAAATTTTAATTTTTTTCAAAATTTGTAAAAAAATTTTTTTTAATTTTAAAGTTCGATTTTACGCTTACATTATCAATATTTACCATGTCAATTTAAAAAGTTATGAATAACACTTCCGTGACAAAGTTTAATGGTTACATGCATGACTCATGTAACCATTAAACTTTGACAGTTCCAGAAAAAGTTTTGTCCGAACAAAGCGGGATCTCGTTACCCAACCCCTTTCTATATTTACGATCCACTTGAGATAAACAACGGTACATGTACAAATACAATAAAACTCTTACTTTTTGTATTTACTCGGTTTTGACGCTCAGTTCGGTCGTTTCATAACTTCGCAGATTTTAACCTTTACTACGGGTTTTGGGGTTATATTTGTTAAAAATTGATGAAAAAGTCGGTTTTCTTTTGTCATTTTGAAAAAATGTTTATAAAATAATCTTTGTCGTATTTTACACATAATTTTAAGGTATTAGAAAGTCTTGTCGTCAATTTTCATTGTCTTTAATGTTGAAAAACGACAAGACTTTTTAACTTCGTTTTCTAATTTTTAAAAAGGAAATTACGGTTGTTTATGCTCTAGAAATCTTGTTTTAAGTAACTTTTATTAAAATGTTTAATATGTTTTGACATTTTCTTAAATTTCTTGATTATTCAAATTATTCTTAATTTACCCTACTATAATATGTTATTTATAACGCCACATAGCATGTTATATCGTAGTATTTCAAAATTGACTATATTTCGACTTTTTAGTATGATACTGAGGCAGGGTATACTAGTCTTCCTAATACATCGACTAGTCACTTCCCTAGAATGCTTCAAAAACACCCCCTCCTTCGACTACCAAGTGCAATATTGTGATCCTCGACAGTTTCCGTTTTGCCTGAAAGCTGACAGTTATGATGGACGGGTGTATAGGAATTGTGCTTCCATTGAGCAGTGTCCTCAGGTAATTGGTGTGAATTTGAAATTAGAAAAGACGTCGTAGGATTTGAAAAAGTTTGCTTTCTATAAAGCATCTCTGTGTAAAAATTTTTGAGCCATCTATCAATTGACACTCGAAAATTTTTTTTGTTTTAAAAAACTATAGTATAAGCCAAGTACTCTGTTGAACACCATATTGAAAAACATTTTCAGGGTATCGGCTGTGCTCCAATAACGTACGACGAAGACGGAACGACGGATTACGTGTGCTGTTGTGCGAACGACTTGTGTAATAATGCTCCAAACTCAAATTCCTCCGGTTTTTTTAGTATTTTTCTAGTTTTGGTTTATTTTCTGTATAGTTTTGTTCGTTAAAATAAATTTTTAAGCCTTTTTGACTGTAAGGTAAGCTTTTTGAAATTAAAAAATAACATTTTTGTCTCTTCCCTACCTTGAAAAACTTTAAAAAAACCAATACTAACCTTGAAAGAAGGCTCACTAGGCCAGGTCAAATTGCCGCGCTGACACAAATTGGCCCGCGGGCCGGCCTGAACCAAGGCCACAGCTTTGTTTAGGCCGTAGTTGGTCTGCCGTAAACCAAAGTTGCAGGCTTTACTTTTTTTACATTGATTGTTTATTTATTTAATTAAAAAGTAGCTATTAAAATATTATATTACACATAATAAGTACAAACGATTAGCATAGCAATATAGGCACAGACTGAAGGTCATTATTACTCAACCACTTGGACGTTGATTTGCTTTATAATGTCTTGAACTATCGTTCGGAGTTGAGCAATTTCGTTGTTCTATAAAACAGCTTTTTATTATAGTTACAGTAAAAAGCAATCAATTGGTCGATTTTTTCGTTTTTACTGTAGTTTACAAAAATACGATCCTTTTATTTGAAATTGATAACATATATTGCATAACTTACCTTTCCTTCAATCTCGGACTTGAGACTTTTATTTTCATTCTCCAATTTGACTAGATCCATTCGAATTGTCACAGTATCACTGTCGTACTTCCCTTTTGTTTCGGCTACAGTACGATCGGCTCTAGAAATGGTAATTTACAACATGTAGTAAAGTTATCCACTCTACCCTGCCCTACCCTACCCTACCCTATTCTACCCTACCCTACCCTACCCTACCCTACCCTACCCTACCCTACCAATCCCCAGACTTCAACTTACTCAGCAACCTGTTCCAACATCTGTTCTTTCAACTCCATTGAAGTCTTGTACATGTTTGTCATAGCTTCCCTTTGTTGTGTTACTGTATCTGCCAGTTCTGTTCTTGACTCACGTAGAAGATCGTAGTTGGTTCTCAGTTTTTCGTATGATTTGAACAAGTTTGTGTAGCTCATTTTGAGAGATTTGGCTTCATCAGCCAAATGATCTCTTTCTGCCTTTAGATTCTTCAATTCTTTAGCGTGTTCTTCAGAAGAAGTTGGAGTTAGGAGAGATCCTTTGAGTTTTAGCTCAAACATGGTGTCTGGGTCACTTTGGAGGACTTTGGCTATGTCTGGAAAGTAAAAATTCAAACAAAAATTGATTTTATTATGTGTTATGACTGAACCAATGTCAATTTTGTTATGTGTCATGGCCTAAACATTCTTTCCTCCTTGGCGAAAGCTTTATTTTATCGTATTTTAAGATCAAATATAAACTTTTATAGTATCCAACTTACCTATGCCATGCTTTTCACAAGCCGCAAAGAACTTGTCAGCGTACGAAACTTGGTTGTTGGCCATTTGCAATTGAAATTTCAACTTGATCATCTCTTCCATCGGGTTGCCCATCACTCGCTCTCTGAAGTTCTCCTTTTGAGCTAACGATTCTTCCATTTCTTGGCGGATTCTTTCCATCGTGTACTCCTGAAGGGTAAGATTTATATAATAACATAATTAAAAAATAAATTCTAAATTAAAAAAATCAGGATAATCAAATTTTAAAGGGTAAATCATACTGAATTAAAATCTTTTCTGAAACCATACTAAAATAAAGTCTTTTTTCAACTAAGACTCGACCACTTAGTTTCATTTTATGGTCCAAAAAAGTCATTAAGTCCTCTAAAGAAGCAATGTAAGCCAATGAATCTAATTTTCGCCAAAATTCTTGGATTTCAAGCTCAATAATCATACTTTAAGCCCGATACCCGTATTTTTCATACCCATATATAACCCCGATACTCATAATATGAATATTATTTTAAGCCTAATACTCATAGTATAAGCCCAAAACCCATATTATTAGCCCAATACCCAAATTTTTATCTCAATACCCATAGCCAAACCCAACCCTCCTCACCTCGTTCAAGTCGTCCGTGTTCAACGTCACAGTCGAAGTTCGAGTGCGTTTTGGTGGTTGGCTAAAAACGGAAAATTAAATCAAAAACGCGGCTTTGCTCACCTTTTGGAGTCATTCGGATCCACAGGCACATCCTTATTTAACTCGGGAAGTGCGGGACGAACGCTCTTTTTCGACACCACCATCGTACGGTTCAGGGAACTGAAAGTGCGGTGTTAAAGTGACAAAAAAGTTACTTTTATTAGTTATGTCATCCCTTACTCACACATTACATCATATAAAAAATGATTTTGTTGCCAAAACTTTTTGTTAAACTTACTTATCTCTAGAAGTTGGGTTTGTTTTTAGTGGTGTTGGCTCCATTTTTGCTTCAAAATTAGTTCTTATTAACGTTTAAACCTTGATAGGATATAAATGAGATGACAGAAATTCACGTAGTACTCATATACAGCAGTATTTATATACAGTACTCTCTCTATATAAGCGACCCGAAGAGACCGGGATTTTTTGTTTACTATAGAGCGTGTTGCCTTTACAGAATGATTTTTCAGTGCAAATTGACTTGGCGGAGCCAAATTTCTTGTTGACTATAAGGAGAGTTGCTTATACAGATGGTTCACTATATGGAGAGACCACTGTACAGTGAAACTCCTGTATCACTAATCGCTAAAGGGTTTTAAATTCGTTTTTTATAAAGAAGTTTTCGCTACAGAGGAGTTTGTTATAGAAGAGTTTGTCATACAGAAGTTCCTCTGTACTTATTATGCCGAACAAAAAACTTTAATACTAAAGATATTTTTAAACTTAATTGACCCACTTCCACAGCTTTAAAACAATAAATACCCAAAACCTTTAGAAAATAAAGCGACAAACTCCTTTCCCCCTACCTACAACACCCTATCCCACTTTAAATTTACCTAATTTGTCTTCGAAACTCTCTAACCAATTTTTGAATTTTAAAAGCTCAAAAAAGCGAAAAAGTCCAGAAAAAGAAACGAAGCCGAATGCCAAGAAAAGCCCCTTGGCCATACTCTCGATGTCGCTTTAAATGGCCCTTTCTCGAACCTTATTTTGCGGGAAAATTTGGTGCGCGAAATTTGCATGAAGCGGTCAGTCATGGCAACCAAATTAATGAGCAAATAATAATGTAACGGCAATGGTAATATAAAGGCAACGGGAATGAGGTCGCGCTTTTGTGCTTTTGTACGTGTTGGTTTGAAGAGTAAATAAATGAGTTTTTATTCAAATAACTATCGCGACTGTAGACTACACTTACAGTTGAAAGTGGTACACAGGGCCGGGCGCTAGAGGGGGGGGTAGGGGTAAACGAGGGGGAAAAGCCCAGAAAAAAAATTTTCGAGAAAAAGTTGAACGTGGTCCCCGTCCGCGCCCGCCCCTGGTGGTACAGTAGAAATATCAGTCATACAGTTGACATTACAGTGAAAGATGATACATTGTACATTACAGTAAAAGTTGACACAGTAGACATTACAATGAACAAAGAAAGAAAATATATTGTCCCAACCCTGGAGTGCCACCTTACTTTTAACTTTCCTTAATAATTGAAGCCAATAAGATTGATTACACATCAGTAATTTAAAGACAGAGTCATCTTACAAGTTAAACTGAATACGATGATAAGAATATTGCAGATGACTCTTTGTAAAGAAGTATACATAATGCATGAGAAGAGATCGTTTACTTTATTAGCCATTTATACAATGAGATCTTGATTTGCAAAATAGTTTTGAGATGCTTTTGGAAAGAATATGACTAACTTAAGCAAGCTTAACCATCAAACATAAGTTAATATAAGAATAAAATATAAATGTTAATCTTCTAGTCTATGTTCTCGTTCGGCCCTAACCTGTTGTTTACGCAAACACTTGAGTACTGTCTTCAACATGACATCATCCGGTGACATTTTGCCAAAATCGAACACATCACGACTTTTCTTCAGTTCCGAATACAATTCACCGATGAAACCACCATCTGTGTCGGCTAGCCCGTCTGATACTTTTATTGTTGCAATTACGCCTGTAATTGTAATTATTTAAAGCTTAATACACATCTTAAAATTAAGAATTTTAAGCTTTCTACACAATACACAACTCCAAATTAAGAATTTTAAGATTTCTACACAATATACACACATTTCCTACCTTTTACAGCCTCCAACATCGTTAGCTTCTTTGAAGGTAACAAGAAACGTCTTCGATTATAAATTACAATATGCTTGACACCATCGCCAATTTTTGTATAATGTTCGAAATTATTTACTTTCCAATCGGATTGAACTACATGTGAAGTAGTATTCCACTTTTTGCGAACATCGTCATAAACCCAGAACTTAAGTAATTTATGTAATATCTAAAGTTAAAACATACCGTCAAATTGGATTCATTAAAAATAATGTAGTCGCAAAGTATCCGATGGCTGCAGGCTCCGTTCTGCAATTTTTTAAAATTTGTCTTGTCAGCTGATAATGATAAAACTTTCGTTTTAAAATCTGATAAATACTATTTTTCGTTTAGGTTGTTCACTTAATTCTTCGCCCCTTCTCAAAGCTAATTTGTGAGGTACGGGGCGCAGAATTATGTGAACAACCTAATATTTTTCGTATAATAAATTTATTTCCGGTTAGTATGTATAGAACAAAACCGCCTAAATTGTGCAACCTTCCTTACATCTTCCAATTTATAATTCATCAATAAATCGTGTGTATATATATCATAAATCTTGTATATCTTTAAATGTCCACGAACATCTAAAACAAGCTACATAAATTAATGTTAAAACTCTAACTTTTATATTATACTTGCTGTATCCAATTTTTTTACTAAGATGCTTAGAACTATAAAATATTTAATTAATACTTACATATAATGAAAACGCATCCAATACTTGGTAAAATAGTAACATCTGGATACGAGTCATTCATGTGCAAGTCATTTAAAATCAAAAAACTTTTCTTCTCACGTACATCAACAACGATTAGCTTTGTTGCTGTGTAGTAATACAAATAACGATTTTCCTTCAAATCCGATCCACAATCAATGACTAAATCTCCTTTATCTACAGGACATATCCTCATACTGCATGCGTCAAAAAACTTTCCCCCAATGCTAAAAAACAGTCGCTTTCGTCTCGGATAATCGGAACGAGAACGATTGTAACGTTGAGCAATCAATTCACGTCCATCATTCACATTAAACACCTGGATTTTCTGCCAACTATGTGAGAGTTCAGTGCATATAATAAGACGATTTCCTTTGCGGCACAAATGAGCAAAGTTAACTGTTTCTTTAGTCGGAAAATATTTAGCAGAAGGTGTTTGTAAGTCCAAGTTTACCACAACAATACCATTCGCGTAAACAAATGCGACACGATGAGTGCCTGCGCAGGTTACCATGTTAACATATCGTTCGAAAAACAAAACACTGGATGTTTCAAAATTCGTACGCTCGTTTAACCTAAGAAAGATCTTTACAACCTAATACAATATTTTGCATGGATCAAATACATAGCACGATATTAAACTTACTTAACAAAAGCAGACAACCAAGTTTCGTTTGGTAGTCGGTAAACATTGTTCTGAATACATAAGTCTTCAAAATTCACCTTTATAAAAGTTTGAACCTCTGGAAAAGCTTCAACCAAGTTAAATAAAGATAGAACATCATTGTACAAATACTTGACAATGTAGTTGAAAATCTATAACGTACAATAACAGAAGTTATTCGAATTTTAAAAGGGTTGCTAGAAGAACTTTGCAAAAAACTATAACTTACATCTCGATGTATTTTCAAACGACTCATTCTTAGTCCTTTTAATTCAGTACAATGTTAAAATATACTTCTTAATTTTTGCGAAATAAGTACTTACAAATAAGCACCTTCTCCCGAGAAAAAAGCGAGAAAATAATGTATTTTTTGGAAAAGTTTGCCCGTATAACCTGTCTTTTTAAAAAATATTTCTCTGGAAAATAAAATTTTAACCATTTTTGATAAAACTCAAGAGTTAAAGACAAATAGGCAAGTAAAAATCGCTTTCTGTTAAATTTACTCTATTTATGACCTACATACAGTGTACTTAATGAGAACTGACGAAGACATCGACAAGTTGTATTTAAAGTCTTTGGGTAAGTCGTTATTTTTGTAGTTTTATTTTAGAGGACCGTTTGAAATCCTTGAAAGATCCAACTGCATCAAAAGCGAAGCCTAAGACGTTTTTATCGGATTTGGCTCAAGCTCGAGATCAAAATTTGTTTGGTTTACTAACTTCTGACACAAAACCCGAGGAACAAGAAGGAAAAGCTGTAGAAAAGTCCTGGATTCAGCGAAAAGTAGCTCCTCAAACTTGTGAAGTTAATACGCTGGAAAAGAAGAAGCTAGTCAAGTACGAACAACTTCAGTTTGGCAGTGTAGATTTTAGTGCTATAGGTAAGCAAGATTTTTTTTTGGGGCAAGAAGTATTAATAGCTTTTTTCTTTTTATATGTACATTAGGGTAAGAATCTTAGTAAAAAAGTGATTTTTAAATGCAGAAGAAAACCCTTTATATGATGTCTTCAATAAAGTTTGGTTTAAAATAGATATATTAGATATTTTATTATTAAATTGTTGTTTTAGGAGTAGTAATCGAACGAGAAGTAGAAGCGGAAAAGAAACAAGTGGATTCGGAAGCACTTGCTAATCCTGTGGAAGAAAACGGTGTAAAGAACTTGAGTATAAACTAGTTTTGATTGTACAATGATTCAGTATGGACTTGTGTACTTTTCTCCTGTACCATTATGCAACACTTATAGTATGCACGTTTTCAACATTAGTAAGTTCATATTACGCTATTCTTTTGATGTTTAGGTAATAGCTTTTAAAATAACAGCGGTTATAACAGTAAAGTAAGTAATTTCTAGGTGACAAACTACAAGTAATGGTGGTTGATTTGAACGGATTGGTACGCTGGAGAGGAAACGATGTTGTTATAGATCTTAAATCAATAGTAAATGACTTTAAACAAGATTGCACGATTGAGCTTGTGGCTTCAGATGCTTTTCCTTTAGTATCATCGGCTGACAATGATCCAGTAGCATACTTGGGGACGTGGTAAGTTATTATTATTATTGCTTTATTTTTGTATAAAACGTACCAATGTGTAGAAATAGAATACTTTTTTTGTAAATCATTTCAGCTGGGTTGTGTATGATAACTTATTTGCTCCACATTCATTTTTTGCCGCCTTATTTCAAGTGAACAAAGATTACCAAGTCAGTCAATGGATGAGGATTAGTTTGTTTGAAGCGCCCACTTTTACAAAATTCATTACCCCAAATCCAAACGCGACTGACAATGTGTACTGGACGATTTTCAGTCATGCCAAAGGAGCAGATTTGTTTGAAATCAATAAGAACATAAAGGTACGTATCTTTCTTGAATACTTAGTTTAAGGATTTCAAAGCGATATTGAACATTACTGTAATATTTTCCTTAAACAGAACGTTCGCTTCTAATGAAGTTACACTTAAATTTTGCCAACGTAACCTAAAATGTTGTGGGAAAGCTTTGAAGCCTCACAAAGTAATTTTAGATTCCCTTCAACAAAAGAATAGCTGGTCCGAAGAGTGTAGTTGAGAACTTCCCTACTTTGGACGTTTCTGATCTGCCCGGCTCTGTCTTACGATGTGACACTTGGGTAAATACCTCTGGTCGAGTATTCATTGCCGGATTTGATACGGGATATGTGATAGCAGCAATTTCATCAATAACTCCAAACAAAGTTCTGGATAGGTAAGCGTATGCTTTATGATAACTTTGTTTTTTCAGAAAAACCCTCAAATTCAGTGGCCCAATATGCATCCTCAAAGCTATTCGACAAAACACTCCGACTGAGCCCGCAATGATATTGGTATCATCTACTATTGGTCCAGTAACCATTTGGGCTTTATGTATTGACGTAAGTTAGTCTTGTCTTCAGCATAGTCTTGCAGAGATGGCAAGACTTTTGTCTTTCCTTACTAATAACTTTCGTTTAGAAGAACAAAATATACTGGGAATTGAGATGTCAGTTATCGGAATCTGAAGTCTATGATGCTGTTGTAACAGCGGCCATTACGAAACAGTTCATATTGATTGGAACATACGGGGAAGTAAGTATATTTTATAGTATAATGATCGGCCACATTTTACTTATGGTGAAAAATTATTCTAGTATTGAAAACTTTCCAAAAAAATGCATAGATTTCAATGAACAACATGCACGGTGCACAGTAAATTACAAACTGATTCTTACTTTGGGCAAACTAGTACGATTTGTTTAAAAGAATACGAGAAAACCCATTATAATCCAAAAACTTTCAGCAACTGCTAATTTATTCATTGGAGGACGCACTACGTTATACCGAATTGTCCCCTTTGGCAACTCTCAATGTCGCTTCACCCATCTTGTCTATAGTTCCTGTAGAACACGACAATGCGTTATTTGTACTCTCATCTAAAGGATTTCATCAGTATTTCCAATTAGATAGCGCACAACAACCAATGGGCAACATGGAAGAAGGCCTATCCTCAACATTCGAATCCTCACCCAAAAGCTCACAACTCTTAAAACCTTCAACTTCTTAATCTTTTGTCTTGTAGATATACTATAGTTTTCTAACTATTATTTTGATAAACAAAAAATAAATTCATTTTCTTTTACCTAAACATTAGGATTATCCTTAAATCTGTTTCCTAAGCCTAATACATTCCCATTTCTACTATTAAGTAACCTTATAAGGCTAAATCCCGATTTCCAATCTCAACATGCAAATTCTCCATACCTAAACTCATAAAAAATCAAAAATAAAACCGTTTACCTTTCAAAAACAACAAAGATTTATTTGAAGAGAAAATCAACAGAATAAATTCATAATAAAGTTGTGGGCGAGCAGCAGAAAGTTCCGATCCAGCTTACAACTTCAGCTTGGTGCGGCGCCAGTGACGTCTCTTGGCATTGTATCTGATCTTGTTGCCGGTTTTCATTCTGAACCATTGAGGCAGTTGGCGGTTTTGCTTCGCGGCCTTGGCCAATTTACGTTTGATGATGAATGTCTTGTGAGACGCCATCTGAAAGAAAAAAGAATAAGCAATGTAAATTAATAAATCTTAAAATATTTAAACGAACAAATCAAAAAACGCATAACAGAGTAAAATAAAGCTTTTAATAAGAAAAACAGATGATATAAAGTGCCAAAAAGGTATCTAAAATCAAAAACAAATAATTTTAAACTTTTTAATAAAAATTTAAAAAACAAGAAAATTTTAATACACACTGCCTATAAATTAAACACATTCTTTATATACTTTTGCTCAAAACAAAGAAACCCTCCTCACAAACATAGAAAAATACCTCTTCAAAAATTCTCGATGAAAATAACACTTCTAAAAACCCTAAAAATCCAACTCTTGTATAACCAAAACGCGTAAAATCAATAAAAAAATGTAAAAATCCCCTAACACAAACAAAATAACCCATAATCAGCCTCTTACCCTTTCAAAAACTTATTTTAAAACTCGAAAAAATTTCCGAAAAATATAAAAGGTAGAAAGATACCGTATATTTTTCTCTTCTTTTTCGTGGCGGGACCCACAAATAACAAGAATGTTGCTTGATACTGGCGAAACGCAATTAAAAAATTATTTTTTGTTGAAAAATTTATATTGTTTTTGGCTGAAGTTGCTGACAAATATGAAGATTAATATTTTGGATATAGCTTTTGGGTTTATACATTGAGTTTCCGTTTTTCTGGGGTTTAAGACCTCGTTCGGCTGCATCTCTACGTTCAAAAACCTGAATTTCGTCAATTTTAAATTTAAATTCGTAACTTTTGTTAAAATTATATCGTTTTAGGGAAGTAAATCCGATAATGGAGTCATGCAAAAGTTTGTTGGGTATGTCTAAGGGCGAAATTGTGGAATATCGAAAGAGAAAGAAAATTGATCTGGCCGCAAAACCACAATTGAAGGGTTTACTAAATTCAGGTTCGGTTTTTGACGGGAACGAGGAAAACAATGTTCAAAGCCCGGTTTTTAGTCGTAGTAACGTGACCGTTACTTTACGCCCGGCTGAAGCACAAAGCTCACAGGACACAGCGTATGTTACCGCATCTACGGATTTGGCTGGACCGAATTCAGTCGAGATTAACTATGGGACGCTGAACTTCAGTAATGGGTATGTCTTTTTGCTTTATTTTGTTTCTTTAAGTTTAGATTTAATGAACCAAGTAATGAAAGCTTCATATTTAAAAAAAATCTTTATTAACGCCTCAAAAAACGGCTAGCAAAATGTAGAACTCTTTCTTCCTCAATGCTATTATTACTTTAAAAGAAGTAAGTGACCGCTAGTTACTTTTCAGTGAAAACATGGACTTTACCGAGTCCACCCGGCTATCTCAACTGAATATTGGACATAATACAGACCTTAACGACTTTGAATTGTTAGAGTGCACTGTTCACCTGGAACAACTCCTCAAATGCTTCAACAATCTGAGCCAATACCAGAAACACAACTTTATGCAGAAGGTTAAGGGCAACATACTGATGGACGACTTCTTTATTCAGTATTTCAAATACAAAGGGACTTGACACTATATTGTTAAAGCTACTAATGCTTTCATGTAAATTTTCTGTACATTCTTATGTTGTTTTCGTATTACCTAGTTATTGTAATTGGTCTCGTTTCCTATATTTTACAGTGATTTATCTTATTTCTGTTACCTTTATGTAATTGGTGTTAATGTCTTTCCAGCTGATATTAGTTTCCTTGTAATTACAGTTATTATATGATCTCGAAGGCCTCTAAACTCATACCTCCGGCAAAATAGGGGTATCGCACTATATTAATTTTTATCAATAAGCGATTTTTAAAATAAACGGTGCTTTGACATGACTTTAAACCTAGAAATTACTTCATTTACTTAAAAAGGAGAATTTTACCCTGACTTTTAATATTTTTCTTAAATTTAAATTTTGCAATTTTATGTTGTTATCCGCTAACCAAATTACCAAGTTTGTTGTCCTATACTCTTTAGTTTCGTAAAGATTTCGTGGATTTATTCCGAAAACAAAACAATGTCTAAATTGAACGAAAGATCCGTGAGAATTGAAGGAGAGGTTCTTAATATGATGGCGACAGACCGGCTTCTGCGAGCACCCATTCTTCCGAGATTTTTCTGGCCAAAAACACTCCGACTCCAAAGCCAATGACTCCCTTGACAAACGGCCTAAAAGTAGCGATCAGGGTTGAAAGGGTCTAAGTATAAGTGGGAGATAGGAGTGCCTGCATTAATATTAAAGGGGATTAATAGGTCTATAAGTAAAATAGATATGAATAAAAATGTAAAGGGATAACGGGAATACGAAGATCTAAAATTATAAAAAAAAATTTAAAAAACACTCACCATCTGATCGGATCGTTATATGTGTTAATGAAGCTGCTGAAGCGTCCAGTAGCTGGGGGAGGGCGTGGGGTTTGGTTTCCTAGTCGCAACATCTGAAATTGAGCAAAATTAGATATTAAAATGTAAAGATAAGGCAATGCTTTGCTAAATTTTCTAAAGAAACACAAATTAAAATTTTTAACTTTAAAAAAGTTAAAAGTTTTTTGGTAAAGTGGGTATATTCACGTAAATTACATAAAACATAATCAAAAGTTGAGATTTCTCACGAAGTCGCCATTTTTCAAATATTTTACAACACGATAAAACAAGATTTTGGTTCCTGGTCTTAAGGATAATAAAAAGTAATATAAAAAAACTGATAGGATTCTGATAAGAACAATCTTTTCATCCAATAAGATCAAAGGGAACAATCTTCTCGGCAAAAAAGGTAACAAAACACTTTTCGACAAAAAAATAAAAGAAAATAAAATAAAATAAAATAGGTGAGCGAAATGTCAAAATCAAAGACGAAGTGTCACAAGATTATCGGAACTTTTTTAAGCGGGTGGAAATAGTGTTTGCCAGTCAGCTTGGGACAAAATCGAGATTTATGTTTCGCCGCTTAACTTTCGACGAAATTCGTCCGTCTATTTTTTACAGTTTAGGCAGCCGATAGGGTAACCTCAAAAGGCACGTGCTGTAATAATTTCCGTTTGTGAATTTGGTTATTTGTTATTTCGCTTAACGTTTCCTTTTTTCAAGGTCAGCGTGAGCGTGAAGGGCATTGTTTATCTGGGGGTTTTGAAATTGTTACAAGTGTATTCTTGGAAAAACATTTGCTAAAGTGTCGATTTTTTGAGTTTTTGTGGCCTAAAGGGACTTTGTTGGGTTTGGTCAACAAACAGTTAGAATAAAAGGATAAGAGGCTAGCCCTTTACACATAAGGCTATTTTACACTCACTTCTAAAGCTATTGTTTAAACTCTTGCGTTTAACCGTTTCATTGCCATATTGTTATAGGTAACGTAATTATAACGGATTTGTACTTTTAATCGTGACGTTTTGTATTTTTCAATGCCTTGCTAATCAGTGTGATAAACAAGCAATTGTAATAATATAACCTTTAATTTCGTGAATTATAAAATTTTTATTTCAGTTATGGCCGAAAGAAAGGATTCTGAATCCAAACGAGTTCGAATTGATTCAGTATCATCGCATTTGGGTGTAATTGAACCAAATGATGCTGCTGGCTTAGGGCATCAGTTTGCTCAAGCTGAGCTTCGACGTGCAATTGATAATCAGAATGAAGAATCACAAAGTTCAGATGTACCATTGAAGACGATTCGACGTCATCGTACCATTTCTGGGTCTAAAAGTGAAGATCACATGCTTACTACGGACCGAGGACAGGTATGTTTATATTTTTATTTATATCTTTACATTTTTAGTTTAACGTCAAATATTTTTTCTATGTAAATCAATTGGTTTTTTGAAATTTTCTTTGACTTACGATAATGTTCGTTACTTTTTGTGCATTTTGGTATGATTTTCACAACTTTTGCTGCTATTTTCAAGCTTATCCTTTACGTTGTTAGAATTTTGTCTTAATTTTACAATGACTTCTTCTTGTTTTTCAACTTTACAGTATGTCCTTTTCAACAAATAAAGCTTCCTTTACAATACTCTTGCTTACAATGAGCTACAGAGTCTGTTGCGACGACAGTCGCATTGTTAAAAAAGGCGTGTGTATTGTTTTGTGACCTACCGGACATTAAATGTTGACAAGTTATATCGGGGACTTTAAGGGGGCTTTAAGATACTGTATTTGGGGATACTTGAAGTTATTTGAACATCCATAATATTTTTTTATCTGTTAATTTTGACAATTAGTCGAGTTTTATTAACCCAATTTTGAGGTTTTTACAAAACGAAGAAGAGACTTCGACACAGGGTCATTTTGGAAGGTTTAAGCGAAGAAATCGTTAAAAACGGCAGTTTTGATTAGGAAAAATAATAACAGGTCAATTACAAAACTTAAAATGGCATAGAAGCTCGATTACAAAATCAAAACTGATTCCGTAAATTATCAGTTTGAGTTTCATAAAGGCTAATTTAGTAAGAGTCAGGTGGGTCGAATTGCAAAACAAGGGCAGTGTTTTCATTCTTTTTGGTTAGGTATTGTTTTTCACTTCCGATGGTTTTGTTAACGGAATTTATGTGTTTACTACCGTTTTTTTCATGAGATTCACACAATTTTTCAAACACTTATTTTTTAAAATTTGATGCGTGGGTTTATCCTGGTCAACAAAGACTTATAAATACGTTTTTAATGCTGCTATGTTGGTGGGGGTCAACGTTTTTGTTGGGTTTTTTTGCTTTCATTGAAGGGGAAGGGGTTGATTAAAGTACCTATCAACCATACCTATCTGTGTCTTTACAACTCACAAATTTATCGTGAGGGATACAACTTCAACAGTTATGAAGTTGACACGACACAGAACAGACGCAATCAAAAAGCGAACATATACCGGCTGCCCCGCCCTTTAACAGTCAAACCGAAAAAAAATCGCTTCGCATAGACAAAAACGCGTAGAATTGACCTTTTGAAAAGGAGATCAGACTTTTTTTCAACCATGTCCAATTTGTTTTGACTAATTTCTTATTGTTGAAAAAGGCGAAAAATGCGGCGACTATCACTATATAACGATTGAAGTTACACTGGGCTTTTTGGTAGGCATAGTGGCGTCACTGGGGTCTTTTGTTGAAAGAGGGGGGGGGGATGGTGAGGGAAAGTTTAAAGAGATTAGATTGTTTTTAATGTTCACAAGTTATCCTTCATGAGGATCTTAATAATCTTTAATTTATAAGAAAAGCTAAAAAAATTTGTCAGGGGGGGGGGAGATGAGACAGGTAGTTTTGAAAATTTTTTAAATACAAGCATTTTTTATTTTTTGTAAACATAGTTCGCGCGGAGATGCCATTAAAACCTTCTTTACATCATTCTTTTCAGGACAAAAATTCAAACTCGCACAAAATTCTAATCAAACCGGTACAAATATTCACCCTCTATAAATAGATCAAATCTTCTCAAACATCTATTCAATCCAAATACTCACTTAGCTCTTTTCACATATCAAGGATTAGACTTGGGCGATCTACTTCTTATCTATCAAGTCTATCGTCTCTTGCTGTCTGATCTGAAACAACCATGATGTTGGACGACTATTCCGAAACGATCTCAGACCAAATCTATTGTTTGCCGTACTCAGCTCGCAATTCTTTCCAGAAGGTGTATACGAAAGGCCGTCCGCCATGGTACGATCGTGCTGGCAAGCGTCTGAAGCAGCCCTTCTTGATTGGAATCTGTGGTGGGTCGGCTTCGGGAAAGACGACGGTGGCCAGAAGGATCATTGAGAGGTTGGAGATGCCATGGGTCACGGTGTTGTCAATGGATTCGTTTTATAAGGTAAAATACGGAGATGTTAAAGTGTTGTGTAAAAGTTTTAAATACTTAAGGAAAGCTAATTATTTAACTTAATAGTACTTTAAGAACTATTTAAATTAATTCCTCAACTAACCTCAAAGTATTTTACTCATATTCAGGTCCTAAACACAGAAGAAAAAGAGCGTGCCAGTCAACAAAACTACAACTTTGATCATCCGGCCGCTTTCGACTTTGATTTGCTGGAAGAAACCTTGAAGCGTCTTCGTGATGGAAAGTCTGTAGATGTCCCGGTGTACGACTTCACTTCCCATTCTCGAGACAAGAATGCCAAGGTTATGTATGGTGCTGATGTTTTGATTTTTGAAGGAATTCTGTCGTTTTTCCGACCAGCCATCGCTGACATGATGGATATTAAGGTAGGTTTTATTGTAGTTTTTCATTGTTTTGGTTTTAGAAAATGGGTTTATTTTATTAATGAAGATGAATTTGTATGTTCCTTTTTGAATTTTGGTAAAAACAGCTTTGTATGTATAGTTTAGAGATTCAAAAAATAAAAAAAATAACAAAAAAACACAACTAAAAGGGCCAACATATACAAAAACACATAAAAATGACTAAAATACGTATTGTTTGTTCAGGTGTTCGTCGATACCGATTCCGACACCCGACTTGCGCGTAGGCTGAAGAGAGACACGGCCGAAAGGGGGCGAGATACAGCTGGAGTAATCGACCAGTACTTCAAGTTCGTGAAACCAGCCTTTGACAACTTTATTGGTCCCGCGGCCAAATTGGCCGATATTATCATTCCACGTGGCGGTGATAATGAGGTGGCCATCGATCTCATCGTACGTCAAGTAAAGAACCAGCTAGCCGAACGTGGCTACGATGCTACGAAGAATCGTTTGGAATGGTCGGCTTTGAGAAGTTCCCCACCAGCAGAGTCGGACCCAGTTTATGGGCCGCTTCCACGGCCGGATAACTTGTTCATTGTTAATGAAACTCCACAGTTGAAGGGGCTACATACGATCATCAGGAATCGTGAAACGCCAAGAGATGAGTTCATTTTTGTGGCTGAAAGATTGATGCAGATATTGATTGAGTACGCGATGACTTTCATTCCTTACGAGCCTACGATTGTTGTTACGCCCGATGGAGAAAAGTAAGTATATGTCTTTATAGTATTGTATCAGTAAATACATAGCTTTATAAGTTTGTATAGTTAGTTAAAGTTGTCACTGTTAATATTATAATCATGATTTGATTTTCAGATTCGAAGGCATGAAGCGAGCTTCACAGATTTGTGGTGTAGCTATTATGCGAGCTGGCGAAACCCTGGAACGATCGTTGAGGGGAGTTATCAAGGATTGTAAGATTGGAAAGATTTTGATTCAAACAAATGATATCACCAAAGAACCAGAGCTTTATTACCTTAGACTACCAAAGAACGTCAGTGAATATAAGGTGCTACTGATGGATGCCAATGTTGCTACCGGTAAGTAAAAGAGTATTTGGTATTACACTGAAGCCTTATAGGGTTAGACACACCATAAAATTGTGTTTTAAGCCATTTTTAAATGTATTTTTTAAATTTTTTTTATTTTAGGTGCCGCTTCCATCATGGCCATCAGAATCCTTCTCGACCACGACGTCAAAGAAGAGAACATTACCTTGTTGTCCCTCTTAATGGCCGAAAACGGAGTCAATTCCATCGCCTATGCTTTCCCAAAAGTCAAACTTGTGACCACAGCTGTGGATAGTCGTATCAACGAGATGTGCTACATTATTCCGGGTATGGGTAACTTTGGCGACCGATATTATGGTACAGATGCGGTTGGGTTGACTTCGGACAATGAGAACGATGACGCTACGGAAAGCACGTTTGGCGACGATGATGAATTGGGGTCGGTTGATAGTGCCATCGAGGGATCAGCGACTTCGGGGAAGGCACAGAGTGATAGCGTCACTGTTATCGCATAGTTAGTTATTTTTTACCTTATTCTTCTATTTTACTTCGTAACATGAATAATTAATATTTTCAATTACTTTATATACCTTTGCATGTGACCGTTTATGTACTTCTACATCTGACCCTTACATCCTTTTACATTTGACCCCACTATTAGCACCATATGTCTAAATTCGACCATACTTTACATTTTTATGCCATAATAACCATTCTCCTTGACATATTATTTTTCTCCCTACATTTCTATTCTCTCCATGACCAAGTATAATAGCAAGAAAAGCACACATACGAGTTTCAGCGTTCAGCTTTCATTTTACATCCATTCTTCTGTTGATCTAATTGTTACCCGGCCCTTCCGAACGTTTGTGGACAACCTTCACGGTGCTTTATGGTCTCATCATTAGTATTACGTTGTTTAAATAATCCTGTTGCCCCTTCTCAAATCAATTTTTTTGGGGTAGGGGCACAGGACTATTTGAACAACAAAATCTGGTCAAAAATTAAAAATGATTTGGCCAAATTACTAATGATGAGCTTGTATAAAAAGTAATGAGCTACTGAACCTAATATCGCTATGAGAAACGTAGCTCATTACTTTTTATACAACATAATATCGTACCCTACGAGCTCCCAAAACGTTCCAAACGGCCCGATTCTGTTGTATAATTTTATTAGTTGTGTTTCTGGTGCTTTAAAATACCAATCCCATCTATCGTTTCCATTACATTGTTCTCGTTTGCGGTAGCTAGTTTTTATATACACAACTCATCACTAATCAAACGTAATTAAAAAAAATCAATTTCGTCGGAAATCGCTTGATTTACAATAATATTCGACGTAATAAACTTTACAAAGAACTGATCAGTTAACTGAGTTTCGTCTAGAAGGTTGTTTTGTCAGGTATTAGGTCAAAAAGATGATGGTTTTGACTGTATTACATTATAAAAAGTTAAGAGTTAGGCTACTATCATGAAAAGTTCATTATGATTCTAAAAAAGATTTTGTTATAAAAAAATTACTCTATCTAATTATAGAGTGCTTAACCGATTGATTACTAATTATTTTAAGATTGATGATGCATTTCAAAATCTAAGAAAACATAGTACAAAAATTGGCGTTAAAAAAGAGCACAGAATTATTTAAACAACCAAATATTAGACAATACAATTTACTGTTCCATTGATCAAAGTTGTGCTTTTCAAAGATCAATCAAAGTTTTTAAAGATTGTAACATTATTTTGTGACCAAAAAGTTACTAAAGATCAAATCAGGGCTACTGATCTTACTGTTTGACAAACTGTACACTAAAAATATAAAAAAAGACTACGCCCTGTCTAATAAATTACATTGAATACAAAGATTATGACAAAAACGTGTTACTATAATAGGTTGCTCACATAATCCTGTGCCCCCTCCCCTCAAAGAAAATTTTCGGGGTTGTGAGGCGCATGATTAAAGTTTGAACTACCTAATAATTCATAATGACCATAACAAAACTACAGTTCCAAAACCAGAAGCTCCACAACATCCATTACATGGTTTATTTAGCGTATTTCATGCGTAGCTGCAAAGCGATGAGTCCCACCGTTCTTCCCACAATCATGACCAGAGCTACGACTCCAAAGCACAAGTAAATATTGTTTTCGTTCATGTCACGGCGATGTAACAGGTCTACTCCATTCTTGGCTGGACAATAGTCATCGCCAGACACTCCTCCTCCAGTGTCGTTTCTATGTTCACAGTCTGGAACAGTAGCACTTAACATATAAAAACATGTAATATCATAATGATAAATTAGGTTGTTAACATAATTCTGCGCCCCCTTATCGCAAATTTGCTTTCACAAAGGGCGCAGAATTAAGTAAACAACTTAATAAAATATCACATCATAGTGCAACATGACTGTGACTACGTCAACAAGAAGTTCTCAAGGTAAAATTGTCCATGTTAATCACAAACATACCTCCAATTTCCCCAAAATCCTTCCATTGAATGATCTGAAGACCTTCGAAGCCGTACCTAAACCAAGATACATGTGATATCCATTGAAAGTAGATTGGAATAGCATTGAAGTTAATGTAGAAGCCTCCAAACATCAGCATTGGCAGCACAATAATTGGAAATGATGTTTGGGCAAGGTCTTCTACTCCAAATACACAAGCTATGGCATATGCTAAAGTAAGATCATATGTAGATGGTATTACATACTGTAATCATAATGTCTTCAACTATAATGTCTTTAGCCACACCCATAGTTAAGAATGAACATCTTAACATTAAATGGCTAGGTATTTCACTAAGGCTCCATAAAAGTCTTGTCGCTTTGAGACTTGAAAACCTTTGCAAACTGACGACAAGACTTTACCACTACACTAAACAGTCAATATAATCAGAAAAGCACGATTACCCAAAGAAATCGCCACCCAAGACAACAGCACATTCATAACCGAGAACAGTGTAAACTTGATTGCATCGGCCGCCAGTCCACTCATCCAGTAGACAATAGCCGAATACGCCAACGGTAAAATTGTATATTGTGGAGTCTCGGCCAGACTTTTGGCCACGTAATACGAACTAACACTGTAGATTCCGCCACGATGTTCTCTTCGCATGATGGGCAATTCGCTTGTGATCACATGAATCGAAGGTACCAGAAACATAAAGTTCATATCTCTGGGACAATTGTACAGTATACCTTCAATGTTCATCACTGTGGGGCCGGTGATCTGGGTTTGCCAGTTTACTATGCCAATAACAATGGCTGTGGCGAACACTTGAAAACACCGTACTTTTAGGAGTAGAGGGTCTCTTAAGGTGGTGAGGAAGGAACGTTGGAAGAGGACCGTGACTTGAGTCAGCCAGCTGGATGCATAACTTAAATTTTTGGTAATAAAGATAAAAATTTGAATAAAAATTTTAAAAAAATATTTAAAAATTAAAAAAAAACAAATTAAATTGAAACACCTTTAAGCAAAATTACCTTTTACCATCAGCAATATCTTGATGCTTGCTGATTTCAATTTCGGCCGCTTCGTTTGCTTGTTTCTTCAGCTTTTTTCCAGTACGAGTACTCTCAAAACATTCTCTAATGTACTGAAAGCTCAATATAAAGAAAAAAGAAATAAATTTTCACCTAACTTTTGTGCTAAACCAACATAAAGCTATAGTATCCTTTCAATAGTACCTATACCATATACCAAATAATAAATTAATACCCGACAAACAAACGTTTACTCTAGCGTTCCTCAATACCCAAAAATCCTAGTAGTAACCCTACCTTGCCATCCAAAACTCTAGTTTCAAAGCCTAAAACCTTACCGTAACCCTAGCCTTGTTCAACTGTTCGTCATCACTCAATTTGGATAACATTCGAATCGAATGTTCGGCTGGGCCATGAAAGTCGGGACAGACCAATTCTTCTTCGCCTTTTACCAAATCTCCAATACTGGCTTTTAACTTCTTCTCCAGTTTCAACTTTTCATAGCCTGGGGCGATCTGCTGCCAGAATCGGCACACCTGACTTGGGTCTCCGAAGAAGGCCACTTGACCCATTGCCATGAAACATACTCTGAATTTAAAAAGTTGAAAAAGCTTTAAAGTATTGTTATACTCGCTAGATAAAGATAAACGTAAAACCTTACTTATCAAACAACTTGAACACTTCATCTGAAGGTTGATGGATAGTGAGTACGACAGTTTTATGAGTAGTCGAAGTGAACTTCCTCAAAGACGATATTACTTGTTCTGACATGAAAGAATCAAGTCCTGAAGTGGGTTCATCACAAAACAAAATAGCAGGATCATTCAGAAGTTCACACGCAAATGCCAATCTTTTCTTTTCACCAACTGAGATACCTTTAACTTGGTTTGGCACACCAATAATCGTATTTTGACAGTCCAGAAGATTCAGCTGAAAGATGATGAAGTTAAAAGATTAAAAAATAATTAAAAATGCCCATAATGAACTAAAGCTCAATAATTTTCATCATTTCATAGCTTTTATTACCTAAAAATGAAAAAATTCAAGATTGAATCATTTTTCTATACCTACATCATGTATCAACCTCTCCACAGTCTCCTTCCTATCCTTGGCCGTCTTCTTTCTACCCATTCTCAATCTAGCCGAAAACATTAGCTGCTCCCTGACTGTCAGACTGCCCACAAACACATCATGTTGTTGTACATAAGCTGTGATCCGTCTCATTTGACTCACAGACAATATTTGACCATTAACTCGAATGTCCCCTGTTCGCTGAATGTCTTTTTGGTCGATATTGACAAACTGATTCATTAGCGTGGTCTTTCCTGCTCCACTACCGCCCATTATGGCTACCATTTCTCCAGCTTTGGCTACTCCGTAGACTAAAATAAGGTTTAGATGTTTGAGAGGATTGATAGCAAATGTTGCTGTTTAGACTTTAAATAGGTAGAAAGAGGACCCATAAGCTAACTGTTACTATGATATTAAATAAAGCTGTTTTGTTACCTAAAAATCTAAATTGTAACATAAAAACGACTTTTAATACCTAAAATTACCTCAAAAACCAAATTTCATACCTAAATATTACTCTAGATGACTAAAATAAAGTATTTTACACACACACCAGCTGGTTAACCAGGCTTCCACCAAAGTTCACGATTTGTTACCTAAAAACCAAACCAATGATAACTAAACTCCTTACCATCCTTCAAAACCGTCCTATGTTGTAAATCGTCGTTCTTTTTCTTGCATCGACTGAAGAATCCACCTTTATCCGGATTCAAATCAGGCACTTTGACTGTGATCTTGTTCCATGTCAAGGTTTTTCCTTTCTCGATTGATTGAAGAACTAAAACAAAAATTTTAATTTTAAAGTTTTATAACATAAAATTAATCAGATTAGTCTAGTTATTAATAGAATCATAGAAGTAATAAGGGTCTTAAATATCATAAATTCAAGCAGAACACAAGTCAGAATAGACAAATATAATCGTATATAGAGAAAGAAAGTCAAAAATATTATTTTTTCGAATTTTGAAAAATTTAAAAAATTTAAATGCTTGATTTTAATGTAAAATACGCTCATGGAAGAAAGACTTACAACTATCCGAATCATTGTGGCTATCGTTCAGCTTTGTCGAAGCTACTTCGGTTAGATTCGTTGGGTTTGTTGTAGATGGCAAAGTAGTTTCCTTTGATCCCTTTGACATGAGTAACACAATCCACTGGTAGATAGTAAAGCAAAATGTAAAAATGAACGAAGTCTATATGAAAATGAAAATATTTCAAAATAATGATTTTCAAAATTTTTGTTTTTTGGATAATTAGCTTCCTTGTGGGTATGGAAACGTAGAGTTTTATAGTATCGGGTGGATTATGGTGGTGTACGGTAGATTAAGGCAGGCTAACAAGAAAAGTGCCCGACCTGCCCCGCTCTGATTGACTTCAAACTTTTTATATAGAAAGATCATGTATATTCATACTTTTTCAACTAATTTATCTTTATTTACGAAATTACGGAAAAAATTTAGCAACGCAAAGGATAAAGATTGAATGACTTATATATGTATAAGCCATAAGAATATCCAAATCATTTTGTCGAAGAAATTGTATTGTAGATTGCCAAAAGCTGATATGGGGTGCATTTCTAACTACACTACCTTCCAGTTTTTTCCAATCACCACGGCATAGTGGACAGGATATTGATACGCCTTGTTTTCGACGGCTCAGGATCCATTTACTGGTGCAATCTACGCATGATACCCAGTTTTTACAATGTAGACACTTGACGACTTCTGGAGCATTGAGTAAACTTCTTGCTATCATTAATTAAGAAGTTAAATATTAAAAACGTCTTGAATTTTACACGTACATTTATTGTCGTCTTTAAATATAATTGACATGTAACTTAGTTACTGTTATGGGACATTACAATATAAATAATAAAAATACAGACGGTTATAAAGACCTATCTAAAAACCCTAGCGCTAAAGATAGGGTTGGACATTTACCGGTAAATTAATTTTTCGGTAAAAATTTTACCGGTTTTTACCGGTAAATTTACCGGATTATTATTTGGTATTTAAAAACTTTAAAATGTCATTAAAACGTTTAATAAGCGTTTTAAAACAATAAAATAGTAAGTATTTCACTCTTTTACTTTAAAAAACAACTTATAAGTCCAATAGCTCTGTCCACTTCTTTTTCCCTACTGGTATATGTTATGTTGACGTAGCTAGTCATAGATGATTGGATGACCATTGTCCACTAGACTCTGGTCGGTTCGATGGAATCTTTTGTTTTCCGCATTTTTGCTCATATAATTGCACGACCTGTTCTTGATCATTTGAAGATATCTTAGTGCCATTGTTTCGCTAAATAATCACAGACCTATACATAAAGTATCAAAAATCAACAAGAAAGTTTAAAAATCGAATTTTCCGTCCTTGTGAGTTGTTGGCAGAAGATGTTGGTACAGTCTTGTAAGGTTACTGACGTATTTTGCACCACAATAATTGCAAAAGTAGTCATTATTTGTTCTTTTGTAACGGTCTGTGATATTTTTCAACATATTTCGTCAAAAATTTTCCTAATTTTCCAAAACAAAAACAAATTTTGAAACAAAAATAATTTTCGTGCTAGGACACAAAACACTTTTTTACCGGTAAAAAACAGAAATTTTCGGTAAATTACCGGTAAAATTACCGGTAAATTTACCGGTAAATTTACATTTACCGGTAAATGTCCAACCCTAGCTAAAGACCAACTGGTCCATAGCTTTGAACTCTCACTCAACTGGTGATCAGAGGCATTTGAGCTAGAGCCTAAATTATAATTTTATCATATTTGCGCTGGCCTATTTGCATAGGCGGCACCTAACTATTGGTTACTAGACAAATATTGCACTCGACATCTGGGAAGGTAATATTTAAAATTTTAGGTTTAATATCTTACAGTAAACGTACCTGTCCCGCTCTGATTAACATCAAAGTTTTTATTTAGAAAAACCATGTAAATATGATGTTCAGCAAAGTACTAAATAGCGCTTTCCAGGAAATATCGAGAAAACCGAGAATAAAAAATTATGTTATGAATTTCCTGCCGAATTGGCATTGTGTTTCAAGCTTATAACTCGATATACTAGTAGAAAACCTTAATGAAAAGTTGAAAAAAAGTGCTTAAAACACGATGCCAAATTGGCGGGAATCCAAATATTTCAAATTTAAAACTGAAAAGCGCAATGTAAATTTTTTATGAGTACTATTGGTGGTAAAAAGAATTTATATAAAAGTTTTGAGCTAAATCCCTACCTTTAGCTTTTTCCGTCCCCATTGGAATATTGACTTCTGGTTCTATAGGGTTAGCTGCCAGTTTACAGATGAACGGAGAACAAAATGTAAAAATAAGTTTTACTGGTCACCACTGAATGCTATAATATCAATTGTGATCTGTTTTCACCTTGATTATGCTATTTTGTTGTATTAAAGTTTTTTTGATGAAAAGGACGCGTAGAAAAAAGCTTATACTTGGGCAGGTCAGAAGAGGTTTACAAATGGTTATACTCCTCGCACCTCAAAAGTGAAGTCTCCGTTCTCAGAGATGGAGATACTTACAAAGAAGATTTTTTGCATGCTGTAAGTTTAGGATATTTTATGCAAATTTTGAAAAAATGAATTTTCTGTCTTGTACTTTACGAGCTACAGAAATTATCCAAATTTTCATAGCGAAACGCAAAAGTGAAGTCTACCGAAAATTAGATTAAAAACGTTGTTTTGGAGGAAGATTTTGATTTTAAACGTGGCATGGTATTCCTTGTATACTATAAATATATTATTCAATGCCCAAAGGCGACAAATTTTTGACCTTTCTATTAATTTGGGTGACTGCAACACAGTGGTGGAAATAAATCAACGTTAATTCAACACTGGATAAGAGTATAAAGTGTGTTACAAAAAGACTTAAGGGGGTGCCATAAGACCCATAAAGGATCAACTAACCCTTCGGAGGTCGAATAATACGTTTAACTTTTAAAAACTTACAACGACGGATATAGGCAACACTAAAATGGTTATCGGTACGTTGAATCCGGCATGTTCTAAACGCTTGATGCAAATGTGTATGAAGAAAATAGATGTATAGTATAGTATCACCTATCTCGTACTCGATTTGAGATCGAACCACCTGCAGCTGCGTATCAGCTTTGCAGAACAACAGTACCGCTACTCCACTAATTTCAAACGGTGGATATACAAAGATGAAAAGTGCTTCTGTGTCACTAGACATGGCCATGTGGGTACATATATCTTCAAAAACACACTATGTCTTACCTGAGTTCTGTAATCAAGTCGTTTTGTAATTGCTATCTGTCACTAACACCATGACTTATTATGACATTAGTTCCTGAAGGCGGGAGTCTATGTTTTGCAACTTAATTAAGTTATTTAGGTGTTTGATGGTTAAAGCACACATGAACGTTGTTTTAAAGACCTAAACAGCAAAATACTACCTTGTTGCATACAAATATTACCCTATCACTACTTCACCTCCCTAATCAATCTTAATATTTTTCAAATAAAACGTATTATTCGACCTCCGAAGGGTTAGTTGATCCTTTATGGGTCTTATGGCACCCCCTTAAGTCTTTTTGTAACACACTTTATACTCTTATCCAGTGTTGAATTAACGTTGATTTATTTCCACCACTGTGTTGCAGTCACCCAAATTAATAGAAAGGTCAAAAATTTGTCGCCTTTGGGCATTGAATAATATATTTATAGTATACAAGGAATACCATGCCACGTTTAAAATCAAAATCTTCCTCCAAAACAACGTTTTTAATCTAATTTTCGGTAGACTTCACTTTTGCGTTTCGCTATGAAAATTTGGATAATTTCTGTAGCTCGTAAAGTACAAGACAGAAAATTCATTTTTTCAAAATTTGCATAAAATATCCTAAACTTACAGCATGCAAAAAATCTTCTTTGTAAGTATCTCCATCTCTGAGAACGGAGACTTCACTTTTGAGTTTCGAGGAGTATACATAATTTTCAGAAAGTATGTCAATTTAAGTATCTTTTGGGTTCATTGCTATAGTTCTTTACTTTACTATAATGTATCTTTATTCTTACATCCCATAACATTCTCCTGATTACAATAACATTTTAATCCAAAAAAATTTAACATTATATTAAGATTTTAAAATTACTTTCCCTACAATATTTTAAATATTTATTATAAGTTACACCTCCAAAAATATTTATATTCCGAATCCTCTTCTGACACTTCTGACTGATCTCTGTCCCACATGGCTGATGATTTCTTTTTGTGTTCGAATAGCTCCTCGTTCTGTTTTGGCCTTTTCCTCCATGACTTTGCGATGCTCTGCCATTTCGGCTTCCATCGTTTCGGCCGTTCGCTTCTGTTCCAGCATCATTTCCCTGCCCGTCATCATGCTGTCTTTGATAGCGTAGAACATTGGGCCGACTTCGGCCAGCCATTGCGGTTCGACGGCGGTGACACATTGCATATATTCTCGTGTGGTCATGATGAGTTCGTGGTAGACAATGTAGTGGACGGTGTAGCCGATTCCGTAGAGGGACGAGGTGGGATGGAGGAAGCAGGGCATGCCGTTACGCATGTTAACATATTCTCCTACTCCTTTGAGTCTGAAAAAGAGGTATTTATTAGATGTAAGTTAGTGTTTGAAAGGTTTAAGGCAGGGCCGGGCGCGAGGGGGGGGGGACAGGGGAGGGAGGGGGGTTACCACCCAGAAAAAAATTTATTGAAAAAAGTTGAACGTGGTCCCCCTGTGGTTTTCGGAAAAAAAATTTTGCAAAAAATCGGCACAAGTAGCTCCTGTGCCGATTTTTCGGACCCCTGCCCCCAGACCAAAAGTCCCCGCCCGGCCCTGGTTTAAGGTATACATTACAGCTTGTTTTATACAAAACTACTGATTCCACTTTCAATATTTCATAAGTATACCACAAAATGTCATCAAAATGCCAACTTTAATAACCTTACCTAGCAGCATTGTGGAAATAAGCGGAACACACGCATTTCCTGACCACATCCCATTCTGTTCCACATGAGATCGCTTCGATCTTCAAGCTTTCCATAATGTCAGTCAGTTGAGATCGTACTTCTCGAACTTTCCTCAAAGCTTTGGCATGTAAAAAGTTCTCCGTACACCACCGGTTGCTAAACTTGTGCTTTTGCCATTGATTGTAGACGTTGAGATAGGTTAGATGGTCACTTTCTGGTACCTGAAATTTTTTTTTTGAAACAGAAAACTTTAGGTAACAAAAATAGCTGAAATCATAATTTATTAGGTTGTTCAACTAATTCTGCGCCTCTTCCAAAGCAAACTTTAAGGATTAAAGAGCACACAATTATTTGAACAACCTAATAATTAACGCATACTGGTAAAGTCGTATTTTAGGTAACAAAAACTAAGCTTCACACTCTATAAATAATGATAACAAATCTAAATTATCTTGCCCTTACCTGGAACTTCTCCTTTTTCGCATCAGCATCATCCTCCCTTCCTTTTGGCCTGAAGAACAACGACGGTACACTCAACATTGACACAATGGTCAATATCTCCGTACTGCACCCCATCTCCTCCGACACTATTAACATCTTAGACAAGGTTGGATCCAGTGGAAACTCGACCATTTTCCTTCCCAATTGAGTCAATTGTCCGGTGTTACTCAAGGCCCCCAACGTCCACAACTGATACATGGAGTTGAGCATGTTATCTTGAGGTGGTGGGTCCATGAAGTGGAACTTGAGAAGATCGTCTACAGCTAGAGACTTTAGAAGTAGTACCACGTTAGACAAGTTGGTTCTTTGGATTTCTGGTACTGTAGAGGTTAGCATTTCTTCCTTGAATTGGCGTTCTGTGTAAAGGCGGTAGCAATGTCCTGGTCCTGTACGACCGGCACGTCCAGAACGTTGGTTGGCAGAGGCTTGGGATACTGGGAAAACCTGAAAATAGAGTAAATTTGAAAAGGATATTTTACAATTTGCTAGATATTACCATACATATAAAAAGTGTTTTACCTACCTGCAACGCATCCATACCAATTCTCGGATTAAAGACCTTCAATTTACAAAATCCTGGATCAATCACAAACAATATACCATCAACTGTCAATGAAGTTTCTGCAATATTGGTGGCTACAATACACTTTCTCATGCCTCCAGGTGCTCTTTGGAATATTTTAGCCTGCATATCCGATGGCAATTGTGAATAAATAGGTAACACAGCCAATGGCGGAGCTTCATCCAATTCATTCAGCTTTTCTTTGATCAATGCACAAGTTACTTCAATATCTTCTTGACCTGGCATGAACATCAGAATGTCGCCGTCCATTGGGCCTAGATGAATTCTGATGCTCTGTCCCACAGCTGCGTCTACATAGTCTTCTACTGGTGACTTGGCGTGATATATTTCGACCGGGAAAGTTCGTCCGGGAATGGTGAAGGTTGGAGTGTGACCTCCGAAGAAGGTAGCAAACTTGTCTGCATCCATAGTAGCTGATGTTACTATCAACTTCAAGTCAGTTCTTTTCGAAACAACTTCTCTTAACAGACCGAATAGAACGTCAGTATTAAGAGAACGTTCGTGAGCTTCGTCCATGATGATGCATGAGTATTGTTCTAGTTCGGGGTCCCCTAGGCATTCACGGAGGAGGATACCATCAGTCATGTACTAAAATTAAAGTTTTAAGAGTTGTACTATGAACAACATCCAAATAAAGATTAGTATAAACCTTTAAAGTTAAAAAAATGTAAAATTTGTGTTTATTTTTCAAATTCCTTCACCTACCTTAATAACTGTATCATCCGAAGTGCAATCCTCAAACCGAATAGCATATCCACACTCTTTCCCTAACTCAACATTCATTTCTTCTGACACTCTCTTGGCTACTGACATAGCAGCGACACGACGTGGTTGAGTGCAGCCAATCAGTCCGCTTTTGCCGTACCCATCTTCCATCAGATATTGTGTTAGTTGAGTTGTTTTACCTGAACCTGTTTCACCAATGACAATGATTACAGAGTTGTCTCTTATCACTTGTAGTAGTTTCTGTCGTACGGCAAAGACTGGCAGGTATTCACGTTGTTGTTTTATTGTCTTTTCAATGGCAAAGTCTGACGCTGCTTCGGTTTCTTCTTTCATGTGTTCTGCGAACTTGTGAGAGTCTCTGGAAGTGATAAAATGTTATAAATTAAAACTGGCCTTCTTTTTGATACTTATAGGTGGAACTATCAAACACAGTAACTATGAAACTCAAAAAGATTTACGACAACATGTTTTACTTACTTATAATCAGAAGACTTCATGGCATCTTCCTCCCCTGTATCCTTCTCAGCCTTCACGCCCATAATGTTACCCAAATTACTACCAGCAAGATCCCAATGCTTTTCTTGAGCCTTCTTCTTCTCTTCTTGTTCTCTGTAGAATCGAACCTGTCGAGAGCCTTTTGAAGCCGCAATTGCCATATCACATGTCACATCTTTTACCTAAAACAATACTTTTTAAATCTATTATATCTCTATTTTTTTTAACGTTAACTAGAACAACATTTTACTCTTGTCTACCTAAAACAATACTTTTTAATTAGAAAAGCTAATTACTACAACATTAAAAGTGAAAAAAAATCAGAAAAAAACCAAAACCTACAGGTACAACCGGCTGTGACTGCTTTGTATAGACCATTCGCCCATCCAAAAACGGTGGTATAATGTTCTGTACCAGTAAATTGACAGCGTTTTCATCTTCTTCATCGTCCAGCACTTCGTCCAAATCTTCAGCAGACAACACAACACCTAAAAATATAAATTATAGCTATAGTGCCAATTGTAACATTTAGAGCCTTACGTGTAAACGTCCTATTAGCCGTCTTGCTTCATAAAATACTATCATTCTTCAAAATCGTGTTTAATAATTTCCAAAAATACCCTAAAAACACCAAAAAATTAGTATAAAGTCTCACCTGACCGTGCCAACCTGTCGTTCTCCCACTTTTCGTTATCCTTTTTAATCTGTTGCGCTTTAGCACTCATTCTAGGCTTGGCCTTATGCTTCTTAACTTGCTTCTCTCGTTTCTTAACGTAATCTTCAGAAACATTCGAAAATGGGTTGAACTCGTCATTGTAACCTTGATCATTTTCATACCATTCACGATCGAGTTGAAACTGTTCTTTCTCCCATTGACGCCGTTCTTGATCGTCTATAAAAGACGGTTTGGCTTCTCCTGTACCTGGCTCTATGAAGTTTTCTCGTCTTCTGAAAATAACAATAGTTTAATTTAGAATGTTATTTTAGGTATCAGCAGAAAAGCTCAGATTTTTTGCGTATATTCAAGCCTAAAACTTATACATTGTCCATAAAAAAACATAAGATTCAAAAATTTTAAAATATCGTACCTATGCTTGTTCCTGTTCTTCTCCTCCCTCCAAACACTGTCCAAGCTTCTTCCACCAACTTGAGTTACCGGTGTCTCAGCGTCCCAATCTGATCGTTTCTTCTTCGGCCGTGAATCGTCGTCCCAATTTGAACTTCCTGGAGTATTTGGAATCTTAAACTGGGGTGTTTCCGGCTCGTTAAACCGTCTGGCTGAAGTTGGAGACCGTGACGATCTTCTGCCCCTTCTATCGCGATCTTTTCTGTTATAATCTCGATCATCACGACGTCTATCGTCTCTGCTGCTTCTACTAGAGTCATCTCGTCTTCTTCTGTCTCTAGGATCATCCTCATCATCACTATCATGACGTCTACGTCTGTGTTCTCGAGAATCCAACCGTATCCCACGACGATCACGTTCTTTGTCTCTGTCTTGTTTTCTAAAATACAAAGCATAAGCGTGATCTTCAATATTAGCTATCAATGGACAAGTCCATGCTCCCCAAAAATAAAACAACATCCTTTCGATTAGGCATGATGCATATCACTTTAGACTGACTAAAACTTCAGTTTATTACCTAAAACCGAAATAAATCAAGAAAATTAACTCACCTCTGAATCTCTTTCCTGACAGAATCTCCAATATCGCTTCTTTCACTTTCGTTACCTCGTTTCAGGTCTTGAGCACGCTTCAAAAACGCCGGTACTTTAAACACTTCCTTTTCTCCATCATCTTTCTTCTTCTTCTTGATAATCAATCCTCCACGTTCACTTCCATCAGAACCTTCCAATCTATCTGTCGACTCCCATGTTGGCATTTCAAGTTATTTACCAAATATACAACTGCAAAAAACCGTATATAGGTATATGCATCAAAATAAAAATAAAATATTAAGAAATTTGCGACGAAAAGCCACGAAAAAGCAAGTAAATCTTTCGTGGTGGGAAAATATTAACCTTGATATGTAAAATAAAAATGTTTTGCTTCGTTGTAAAAAATATAATTTGCGTTGCTTGTATCTATAGTTTACAGTTTTTAATGTTTTCCATAACTTTTAATTGATTTTATACATCTTTAGTTAAAAATGTCGTGAAAGTATATCTTAACATGCGTTTTGCTGGAAACAGTTGTTCTTTGTTGAATATTGTCTTCAAATCATGAAATATAGACGTTTTTATTTGTAGATGAGTGGTCACGATGATCGAGCATTGTCAATATCAAAGCACGAGATTGAATTAGCCAACCAACGCCCAAAATTCGAGGCTTGGCTTGTCGAAAACGCCTCTCAAGCTGGTCAACCTGAATATGAAGAATACGTGAATCGATTTCGACAATGGGAAGCCGGTTTAATACAACAGTTAGCTGAACTTCGAAATTCAATTTCAAGGCAACCGATTATCGACACGCCAACATTGCCACAACAAAGTTTAGATGAACAAATAGCTGATCTTGTGAAAGACATCAAGATGAAGGACTTTATAGCTGGATTGATGGCTTTGACACGAAATGACAGTACATTTGTGGCCAAACTCACTAAAGTAAGTTTTTTTGTTTAGTTTTAAAAATTTAGACAATAAAATGAAGTTTTGGGTAACAAAGGGATGTTATTTTACGAAGAAAAATATTTATCATCAATTTTTAATGTCTTTTAGCGGTGATGAGCACATATATTGTATTTCTTAAGTTTATTTGATTGGTTTTAGAAGGAAAATGTGGTTTATGTACTAAGAACTGACTTATGTTACATTGTTTCGTACTCAAAAATATGTTTTTCTTTATAACTTTTTATGTCAAAAATGTTAGAAGTTTGCAACATGAAGTGGTTATTGACTGTTGTTTTTGCTAACACTGGTTTAAAACGTCTTTTTGAAATTTAAAGGTTACTAAGAAGTTACAGTGATTTTACTGTGTCTTAGTTCCAATCTTTCTTTTTCTAATTTTAGTGAAATAAAAGTCACCGTATTTTAGATAGTTCAACGCGAAACTCAACCAAACTACTACTCAGCACCGCCTCCAGTCATTCCCACGCCTGTGATACCGGCTGTTACAGCTGCACCGTATGGCGGTATACAAATCCCATCATATCCACCTCCAACCGTTTCTCATGTTCCTACTACTTTTCTCAACATTAACAAGCAATCTATTCGACCGGTCGGACCTTCAGCTCACGTCCCTCAGCCAGCTTACTCTCAGTCGTCTGGCCTGCCGGAAGGGTGGGTAATAGACGAGCCAGTACGACGACAGAAAAGATCACCAATACCTGAAAGAAAACACCTTCCAAAGCTACCGTTCCAGGATTTCAGTCAGACTTGAGAATATATTGATCTCTTTGCGCTTATAAATAATATAATATTGTTTTTACTGCTTTTTGACATTGTTTTAGAGGGTTTTTACCTGTTTTACATTATCTTACGGCTGACTTTCACTGATTTTTCGAGTTTTACAATATTTTTAGCGTGTTTACGTTTATTTTTTTTATATTTGTTTTAAAATTATATATTAATTTGTGTTGAAAATTAATTTAGATAGCAAAATGTTCTTTGGAAGAGAGTTTATGGGTAATATAATGGGTGGTATGGTCGGTGGACGATACCAAACCCGGTTACGATGCTTTTCAGCACCGTATTTTCAACGTGCCGATGCCAAAAAGGTTCAGGAGATTAATTACGGTGGAAAGGTAAGTTTTTAACTTTAATTGTTTAGAATATAGGTAATATTGTCTTAGGTTTTTACCCGTTTTTGATATAAATGATTTTTTGACCTGGACTGTGGACTGTATCTAGAATTTTAGATTCTGTTGCCAAATTCAGCGTTGGATGCTTTGATCCGGATGAACATTGAGTACCCAATGATGTTCAAACTTATGAGCCTCGACCCAGCCTTCCAGAGAATGACACATGCTGGTGTTTTGGAGTTCTCAGCTGAAGAAGGAAAGGCTTACTTGCCTAAATGGGTAAGTTAACATGCATATTGATGACTCCTTGGGTTTGAGTTTGGTTGGAATACTTTTGGTAAAGAATAATGACTTTAACATTCCAAAATGAATATAATAGTATTTTCATGTCTGTATTCTTTTAGAAAAATGAATGTAATAACATATTTATAACGATATTGTTTTAGATGATGGAGCAATTGAAGTTGGATGAAGGAGATGTGTGTCTAATTGAATATACCCGCTTGCCAAGTGCTACGTATGCCAAGTTCAAGCCTCAGACGACAGAGTTTTTGAATATTTCGAATCCCAAGGCTGTTCTTGAGGTAGAATTGAGAAAGTTTGCTTGTCTTACCAAAGGAGACATCATTTCTGTCGATGTAAGTTTTATAAATACGTATTTTAATAGCGATGTTTATGTAGAGGGCATTTTTTGAGAACCTAAATACCATAAAAACGCTCTTAATATAAAATCTTTCAGTACAATGATCAATGTATGCAGTTCAAAGTGATGGATCTGAAACCAGCGAATGCCGTAACGATTATTGAGTGTGATATGAATGTAGAGTTTGATGCTCCAGAAGGCTATGTCGAACCTGTGTACAAGCCAGTCAACACGGAAATGGTAGGTGCAATATTATTTGACAATTTTGAAGAAAATTTGAAAAAATGACATTTGGATGTAATATTAACTATTGGGGTTGGGTTGGTGACTTTGGGGTGGGTAGGGAGGGGATTTTATTTTTTTTGAATTTAAAAAGAGGGTCACAATAATTTTTTTCTAAAAAAGTTGCGGGTTTTTCATGCTAAAGGTATGTAATTTTTGTTTCCAGCCAGCCGCCCCTCCAGTCCAACCACGGCTCAAGAAGGACGACACTTTTGGTGGCAGTGGAGTCAGATTAGATGGCAAAATCAGCAAGAGCCGAACAGTGTCCACTTCCTCAGCTGGCCCTTCTCGTGATTCAATCGAAAAGGCTCCAGAAACTGAAGAACAAATTGCTGAGGTCCTACCGTACGAAGACTACCGTCCAGGCCAACTTGACTTTGTCCGATACGCTTACAAAAACAAGGAGATCCTAGAAAAGGAGATGGCAGAGAAGAAGAGAGAACAAGTGGTACCATTTGGAGGAAATCGTCTGGGAGGCCATACCATCAACAACTTCAGAGCCTTCGAAGGTTCGGCTCAAACTCTACGTGGTAGTCGTTGAAAACGGTAACAGGACTGGTTACAGTAGTGAAGGTAATGAGATTCTTGATGATTTTGCTATCATTTACTGTATTACCTGGTCCGAATATTTCTTTGTGACTTATTTATGGAATGTGATGTGAAAATAAATATTTGGAAATTGTAGTACGATGTTAATGTTGTTTTTGGACAAAAAATACAAATTACGCTCGCTCAGGATAATGTAAATTACTGACTTCTATCAAGCAAAACGAACTTTTATAAAATTGTATGCAATGTATTGTAAATTGTTGCCAAACTAATTTGCATAAATTAGGAAAGACCCAATTTCGGATGTTCAGTTATCGTCATGGATGACCTCAGCCTCTGAAGGTCGTTCGATGTGACATTATTCGGTGCTTTTGGCTGTTTTGCGGCGAGGAACCTTATATTTCCGATAGTGAGGGTACCTCGCGTTTCCTCTGACCAAACGAGAGCGGGTACCTTCTCTTGAGGGTACCTTCCCAAAAGCGAGCGAATACCTTATATTTCTCTTGTCGTATATTTGCATGTCCCTCGCCGCCGACCCCCACCTTGAGAGGCTAAAACCCCATCTCCAAATATATTAACGAACGGGAGACGAAATTACAGAGTTCGAGCTGGGAGCTCAGGTCGAGGGAATGGCGCCATGATTGCGTATACGACGTTATTCATGTGGAATTTGAGTAGCTGCGCATGTTGTTTTTTGCTTGCTTTTATTGGCACAGGTGCGAGGGATTTGGGGCTGGAATGTGGTGTCTTAGAATGATTGTCATTTAGGTTTTGATGGGCTTGTAAGAGAGAGAAAGAAAGGGCGGGGTAGAGAATAAAGAGAATTTAAAAAATTTTTGTTTTTTGGCTAGGCTTGCTTATTTTTTCTTAATTTGTGGAAATTTTAAACCTTTGTTAAGGTCTTAAATTGAACTTCTTTTTTAATTTTAACGTCTACTGCTTCTAGCATTTAAAGTTTTCAAGCTCAATTTTAAAAATTCGCATTTCATTTTAAAGAAATTTAAAATTCTAGTCTAATTACGGTCAAGAATCAGCCGAAAACAACACTGTAAACCAATGCGATCGGTAATAAAATTTTATTGTAAAACGCTTTTCTTAAGCCCTTTCCCAGGCACCGTGATTCACATCCAGAATTGTTTAATAAGAAACTATTTTCTTAAATTTTGTTTTCTTTTCCTTCTTATCTTATCTATTTGCTTTTGGTTTCGTATGCGAATATCTTCTTCTTTATGCGACACTTTCTGACGTTTTTATGAATTTTACTGGATTATGATATTTTATGGAAAAAAGCTATAATAATTGCGATAGGGTAAGGTAGGTTAGGCTATGTTAAAGCTAGGGCTAGGAATTTGATCTCTCTTAGGGCTAGAGATAGGGCTAGAGCTAGAGCTAGAGCTAGTGCTAGTGCTAGAGCTAGAGCTAGGTTAGAGCTGGAGCTAGAGCTACAGCCAGAGCCAAAGCTAGAGCCAGAACTACGGCTAGAACTACAACTAAAGCTAGGAATAGAGCCAGAACCGGAACAAAAGCCATATATAATACCAGGGTTAGAGCTAAATAGTAGAATAGAGCTAGTCTATTGTAAAATACGATTGGCCTATTTTTTGCATATGAAATTAAAAAAATCTAAAAATTTCAAGAATATTTCCAAAATGACTCACCCAGGTTATCTATCTTTTTTGATCGTGATCTATCATTCATATTCGCGCTTAAAGCAACGTAAGTCTGACGAATCACAACTCGAAGCTATGTATAATGCGTCTGATTCTACCTGACGATAAGCTAATTGTAATTGGGATTATTAATGGCTTTTTGTGTTTTTTATATTTTTTATATGTGGTTTTACAAAGTTTAGTTTGGCATGATATTGGCAGTACGGGGCGGGGTATTTTGCTGTGGGGGAAATTTTTTCTGAAATTTTATGTTATAAAAATGGCATTAATTTAACGTTTCAGCTAAGACCAGGGCTTATTTAAGTAAGACTAGTGCTCTTTTTATTCATTTTTAAAGTATTTTTTGAAATTTTACTTTACTGTACTTTTTTAATTTATATTACTTTCACTATTCAATCTTTTCCCTTGACAATTCTTATAAATCCGTACCGCACGATATAATATTATAATATTCACCTGTAAAGTCTATATCCTCACCAAACGAGCCACTCATCCGCGGATCTAAACCCAAAATAATGGCATCACGATTGTATTCTTTCTCCTCGAAAATCCCATTTTCAAAGAGGGGGGGGGGTGTATTGTACTTTTAAATGCGTGAAATTTATTCGTAAATCTGTTGCGTAATGTCCATTAAAAGATGTGGTCAAATGGCCATTAAATGGAGGGGTTAACAGCCTTTATGATTCGAAAGAAGAATCAATCTGTTGGCGGCCATGATTCACAAACAACATAAGAGTTGGAAGAGGTTGAAAGGGGAATTAAGTTGATTTCAGAGGGTGGAGGGGAGGGGGGAGAGGGGGAAAGAAGAGGGAGCATAAATAGTGCTAAGCAAGACAATTTTTTCTTGAGCAGAGGGTGGTACAAAATAAAATTTTTTTTTGGGTTTCAACTTGGGAGAAGACAATGTTCACTGACAAGGAAAGTACCCGACCTGTCTAGCTCTGATTGAATTCAAACTTTTGATATAGAAAGATCATGTAAATATAAGATCTTCAGCAAAGTACTGAATCGCGTTTACCAGGAAATTTCAAGAGAATCAAGATAAAAAATTACGTTTTGAACTTCCCGCCAAATACGCATTGTGTTTCAAGCTTATAACTTTGCCATTTTTTTAATTTTTAATCATTTTTTTCTTTGATATACCAGTAGAAAATTTTTAAATAAACTTACATTTTTAAATTTTTAAGTGCAGCTTCTTGTCTGGAAAGTCAAAAAAAGTGGTTAAAACGCAATGCCAAATTTGCCAAAATGGCGGGAAAGTTAAATATTTAAAAATTACAACTTAAAACTGAAGGTTAAAATTTTTTATGTGTATTATTGGGGGTACAGAGAATTTATATTAAAATTTGAGTTGATTCTGAGTAGGGCAGGTTGAGTAGTTTCCTTGTTAATACCTAAAACGAAATTACTTTCTTTGTGAACAAAATCTTAACTTTATTGCTCATTCTTGATTAAGATCATTTTAAAATCAAACAGTAAAAAAAGTTAATGACTTTAAACTCGCTTTAAAACTGCAAAAGTCCGAAACCTTTCAAAGTGCCGATATTATTTTTGACAGTTTCAAAGCCTCCGATCAATTATATTAACCTTGTTTTTTTGGGAACAGAATGACCTTCACAAAAACGCCGGTTTCTGTATTTCATAGCTTTGCTTCATTTTCAGTTTTTTAAAGCCAAGAAGCTCTTACAGAGTTCTTTGTCGTGGGCATTTGCAAGGTAAAAAGTCTTGTCGTGTTTATGCAGGGAAATGTGTAGTAATTGACGACAAGATTTTTTCACTTCGTACTAACTTTACTAGCAATGTAAATGTGATAATTCTTTATGTAAAACAAGTTTTTTAATGTAAAATACGAGCTTTTTAAAGTCGTTTCCAAAAATATAATAGCATAAATGTAAATTCTAGTCTACTCATCCAATAAACTGTAATTACCGTTGTCGTATGTGGATGTATGTCGGCGTATAATTGTGTTTTTGTTCCACTGACCTTTCCTCCCTTTTTTACTCGACTTCTTATATTGACTATGCCTTTTATGTGTTTACCGCGGAGTGGACATACCATGGTTTCATACGAATCAAGTGATCTTTGTTACGTAATCTTTGTTTATCTTGAGGGTACATGGGGGTGTATTTGGGTAGGTAGCTAGATTATGGGTTAGATTATAGATTAATATGATCTATAGACCAATATAATCGATAGGCTAGCATGAACTATAGGCTAGTATAGTCTACAGTCTGATATAATGTATAGGTTGGTATAGTGTAAAGACTGGTATAATCTACAGGCTTGTATGATCTAAAAGCTGGTATTTGGCTATGTAAGGGTCATTTTGCCATTCATTTTGTTCAAGTATTCCAAAACATGTTGTACTAATCAAATTATCATCTCATAGTCAACCCTTTCTTTTACTCTGCAAATGAGTACATGCCTCGTTGAACTGACTAAGGCTAGAGTTAAGGCTAGGATAATATAGATCTAGTTTCAAGCAAATCGTACGAATTCAATTAACTTTTCTTATACATCTTACTATAACATATCTCTTCTTATACTTGTTTAATATGCGAGAACTCGTTCTTATGCTACTATTAGGTTGTCCGGAAAGTTCTCCAATATTTATTCACTTTTGAACTAACAATAATAACAATATAATTAACAACTACAATCAATCAAAGTAATTACCGTCTGAATCAATACAGTCTTGCCAACGATTTACAAGCTTTTTTATTCCACGATTGTAGAATTCCGGGTTTCTGGAGTTGATGAAGTTCTTGAAGGCATTCTTGGCATCGTCTGGAGTTTTGAAGATTCTTCCATTAAGAAACGAAGACAAGTGTTTAAAAAGGTGAAAGTCCGTTGGAGCCAAGTCTGGAGAATAAGGAGGGTGCTCCAAGACTTCGTATCCCAGTTCCCTGAATTTTGCCACGGTCTTCTTTGCAGCATGGGGCCGTGCGTTATCCTGCAGAATGATCGGACCCCTCCTTCTGACCATTGTTGGAAGATTGTGTCGCAGTTTGTCAATCCGGGCACAGTAGGTGTCGGCCGTAATACTTTGGCCAGGTTTTATGAAATCGTACTGGATCACTCCAGAGCTACACCACCAGACAGTCACCATAAGCTTCTTTTCGTGCAATTCTGGCTTCGGAACGTGCTTAGGAGCATCTCCACGCTTACACCAACTTGTAGATCTTCTAGTATTGTTAAACGAGATCCACTTCTCGTCAATAGTTACAATTCGATCCAAGAATTCTTCGTTTTTGCAGCGTTGCAGAAGCTTTTCGGAAGCACATCGTCTCTTGGCTTTTTGCAGATCAGTCAAATTGTGAGG